TGTGTACATTGTATGAACCCAAACTAAAAGGACGTCTGTGCCGGCGACGGTGAGGAGACTGAGTAATTTATGTACGAGGTACTTAATACGTTAGGAACTGTACAGTCTACCCAAGTTTGTAAGTACGTGACTGAAACACGGACAAATATAATAGCTCATTAATTCATTTTACAGCAATACTTCAATTTTCATTAATTTCATAAAAAATAAAATCGTTTTTACAAAACGAACTACTTCTCTGTTCAATGTACAATCGAGTCTAGAATAAAAGTCATTGCACGTTTTAAGTACCCAAGATCTTTCAGGTGTTGATAAATAAATTTTAAAAATCAATAAGTTTGTGTGTTGTAAAAAATATTATTATTATTAAACAAATCAAGAACTCTTTATTATTTGTACACTAATTTGTTAACAAATGGACGGCATTGTGGATGAAATCACGCAAAGTATATTTATTTAACACGAATTTGTCAAACTAATANATAAATTTTAAAAATCAATAAGTTTGTGTGTTGTAAAAAATATTATTATTATTAAACAAATCAAGAACTCTTTATTATTTGTATACTAATTTGTTAACAAATGGACGGCATTGTGGATGAAATCACGCAAAGTATAATTTATTTAACACGAATTTGTCAAACTAATATCATTATTAAAAGTAAAAATATGTTATTGTTGACAAATAAGTTTACACTTCTCGAAGATTTAACAAAATTAAAATCAGTAAAGCTGGCAACCTCCTAAGTGGAAACCTTAAAAAGTCGACATTTCAATAAAATACTATTTACGAGCACATATTAAAGAAATACTATCGTTTACTCTCGGCAAAGAATTTAAATGATTTTCTAAGTTATTTTAACGAAATACGAACAAAATCTGTGAGGTTTACTTGGCGCAGAAACTGAAACGAATTTGTCATGAAATGCATATGAAAATAACAAAAACTAATTAACTACTTGACCACTTTAACGAGAATATTTTTCTTGTGAATTTCCAATGACACGAAATTCGCTTGATTGTAAGTTTATACAATGTTGTTGAGTGGTGTATATATTTTTCAAATAAAAATATATTATTAAGAATATTCAAATTCGAATCCACTTTTAAGACGCTAATGCTTAAATTAAATTATTGTTGTTATTTACTCATGTCTTGCTCAAAAATACAAACAGTATTCAAAATGCATAACAATGTTTTCTTTCTTTTTAACGTTTATCTATATACTTAATGATTTGAATAGGCATTTATGTGTAGTAATTTTGATTCTTAAACGTGAAACATAATGATGGGCATATTCGAATATTCTAAACTATGGAATATTTTTACTATTCGATATTTCCCATCACTAGTAAAAAAGTAATATTCTTGTTCAGGGAAACCATCTCCAAAATGGGTAATTACAAATACTGATCATAGTACATGTTTATAGTTTTAAACAAGAGATTTGAGTGGAGTGGCTGAATAATAGTTGTCCCGCCAAAAGATCTAAAATGTGGTCTTGTGTGCGTAACAAACATTTTGTATAGATAGTCCCTGAAATTCCGTTAATCCATTTTCAATAAATTCGTTTGGATCGAATAAGTACTAAATGATCGTGTAGCGATAGCCGATCCGTGAAACACTCGTATTTACAGGAAGACCGAACTACAAACAATCGGCGACCGATGTTACGGTATGCAGACTTGTATGCATGTTGTTTGTGCATCCGCGGCCGATTGACTCTTTTGTACCTAGTGATTCAGCATAATAAAAAAACTTCTGTTCGGAGAGCAACGCGCGGCTGCCCAGAGAGTTGACCACTCCACTCAAGTGGAATTTTTACATTGTCACACTTCGATACCGCCACTTATTTTCAGGTACACCGACAGCTAAAGGATTTGTGTCGACAGATACAAAAGCACAGCAGCATTATTTACTACCCGAACCGCGATCAAGACGGCATACATATTATGTGTCAAGCCATTACTACACCGCAGTGGATGGTTTGCGTATAGACACATAGTACAAGAACCCAATAAATCTTATTGAATAACGGTCGATTAAATCGTTGACCAATGAACTGCCATGTATGAAAAATACTTTTTTGTGCAATAAAAGCGTGCAATGAACTCGACATATTATGTCTGTTTACCCAGAAATTAATGTTTATTTATTCCTATGACATAAAATCAATTATTATTTAAAAGTTGCTGTAAAATAACTGTGATAAATACTTAATATGTCCGCTACTTTGGCCCACAATGGCGACGTGTTGAAATATAAAAAAGTAATAAAGTTTCATAATCGATGTTGAAAAATATTTGCTTCAAAATTTATTTGGAAACAAAAAATATAATCCAATTAAAATTATAACTTTACTTCAATACCTTAAAATAGTGTTTAGTATTGACATACAACGATTTATTGACTTGTAAATAACTATCATCAGTATTTTATTACGGTTATAGAATTCAATACTTTTTAAACATTTTCTCGATAATGATACATTGAAAATTTAGGAAAAAAACTTAATTTATACTAGATTTTTATTTTAAATTTATCTGAAGATGTTTGCGATTTTAATTTATCGACGCAACAAATTAACTAGGTTAACAAAAAACAAAGTGTGTCGGTTTAGAACGACAAATTTGTGGATTTTAAAAAGTCCTCAATCTTATATCATAATTCAGTTTACTATATAATATACGCACAAATGGCTTTTTAAAGTTTCAACTACACTAAGATCTAGACTTCATTTGAAATCAATCGAAAATAATGTACCGACCCACGAGCCTTTTCTATGAAATATTGATTTTTTTTTTTTTAGAAGCTTTTATTAAGAAAATATTATAGCTCGACGATTACATAAGAATTAGATAATATAATATTAATTACAAGAATAATGGGTGTTAGTATAATAATAGTAAAGTATATGCAATGAATTATAATATATAATAAAGTAGTTAAATAGTACAACCAGCGCTCAATATAAAAGAAATTATCGCAGTTATCACGGGAATAAAATGGGAATTTAGTACAAAAGAGGAAACGAAATTGGAAATTCCATTGGATTCTAAAAATTTTATAAGCAGGCACCTATTAGGCGCCAAGGAGAAGCAATTCAATAAATAGTGAGAGAAATCACCGAGGACTTCATCCTCATGTAAATGGCAAAAGGGAACAGAGTTCGAGTTTAATTTGTAAGCGAATGCTGGTAAAAGGTTATGACCCAGTCTGAGTCGTGAAAAGCTTGAAATGATATTGCGAGTAAGATCTAGTTGATGGAACCACGGAATTTTGGAGGGACCTAGGTACGATGTACCGATGCCATCCGGCAAAGCTGTTTGGAAGAGAAGACCACTTGGTAAGCCATGCTTCCATCAGAGTAGATGTAAAATAATGCAGAGTATCAGAATAAGGGAGGAGAAAAAAAGGATAACATAGGAATGATGATGCGTATTCAGCCAGAGAATCAGCGAACTCGTAACCGAAATATTGATTTTATTCAATTAATAATTGAATTACACAATTATTTGATTACTTTAAGGGAACAAAATCTTTAAATATAACACCAGAATCCAGTGCTTGACTAAAAATAATTTATAATTATTAGCCATGTTTATTTAAATTTTTGGATGTCATAGCAGAGTTACAGTAGGCGATAAAGAAAAAATTGTTAAAAATTCTGAAGAATCTATTACAAGGGACAAAAAAAAATTCACGTGGTATAAGTATATAGATTTTGTCTACAATCATTTGGGCAAATAATGTTAATTAACCTGTTGAAGTTTTTCATAGTTTTGGTTCTACGAAATCGAAAAAAAATATAAATTATACAATACTATGCAGTGTTTGTAACAATTTGCTTCTTATGTATGAACCATTTGTAATCACTAAATTTTAATTGGATGCCCTGATATGAAAACTAAATACGGCCACTTTTAAAAAGTTTTGAGTAAATACAAAAATCTATTTGTTTTACATTAAAACACAACAAAAAAAATAATCATTTTTTCGTTAAAACTCCGTGACTAGAGCCTTCAATTTAGATAAATATTTTCTAAATTTCTTATAGATATATTCTATTTAACAATTCATTATTATTTTATATATTTGCTTAACATAAACATTATTTGTGCTGGTTGTAATTAAATTTATTAATTTATAGATTGTACGATTCCAAATAAAAAAAAAATGAGTCATTGCCTAGAACAGTTAAAAAAATATCCATTAAATACATATAGTTTATTTATTTATAATAGTATTTGATTATTACAATGGAAATTTTGGTCAGTTTTATAGTTGATACAGGTCCTTAAGATTCTAAATCATACACTACGGGTCCAAATAAATCCCTCCCTTTATGTCCATTTATAACTGAATTTTATAGATATAAAATGTATAATTTATTATGTGATTTTCTTATTTAGGTGTTAAAGCAACAAAATACCCTTCAAATTTTGATAAAAAATTTGTCTAACTTCCGCATTTCTATTTCTCTAAAAATAGACTGAAAACATAAAAATTAAAATACTTTAAAACGTATATTAAGCTCTAGTACCTTCGAATACTGTGAACAATGTAGCTCTTAATATTAAACCAATTTAAATTGTAAAATTACAGTTTTCATTTTTGTTACTGACTGACTCATAGTAAATATTATAAGACACTTCCCGTACATGTTGAATAGTAAAATTTGATATAAAAGTTAGTTATATAGTGTAAGTAAAGGGAAAAATCTGAAAATCGTTATTTTCTCAAAATAAACGGTTTTACAAACGTCATTTGAGATTTTTTAGCGACTCGTGAAATTTACGTATTTTGTTGCCTTAAGCCAACAAAATACAAAAGAATGACATCTTCAATAAAAACCTAACTCTATAAATGAGACAAATTCCAAACCCTTCTTACCAAAACAGTTCGTATATCTATATTATAGGCAAGTTTGCTCTTTTTTAAGTTCATAAACTTTTATCCTACTTTTATGAGCAACATTGGTGTTTTAATTAGATTTTTTAACACTTGGACAGTTTATAGAATGAGTTCTCGCTCAGTACTGGTTTAGGAATTACGTGGAAAACAGAAATGAAAAAACTCGAAAAAAAAAAATTGGAAATCACAAAAAAACTCTATTTTGTGCTTCATTCAAGAACTGGTCAAGTGTTAAGCAATTCGAATAAAGAAATTGTTCGTAATAGTAGGTTTAAGAATTAAAAAAAGATGGAACTTGGCCTCAATGTAGATGTTACTTCGATAGACTAACTTATAGGCTATAACTTTGATAGACGAACTTTTGGAAAGGGAGGAGGTTGGGACTTTTACAGACAGATTTTTGTTCAGAATTGGCCATTATCGAGAAGCCTTATTACAAAACCAAGCAATTGGGTATGATATTATATTAAGGCCGGAAACTAAAATTGAGGTGTGAGCAGATGTGTACGGCATATTCAGCGTAAACGACATTTAGGATGATGGAAATGTTATAATATGAAACATGTTTTGTGTCATATATAGATCATCGGGGTAATAACTGTAACGGGGAGGGGTGAAGATTATGATGACAAATCACAAAATAGCATCAACAAAAACGATGTACACTCTTCTACTATGAGTATAAGTGTGGCCTTCGCGTTAACGTAAATAAGGGCCGAGTCGGAGGGATAAATAAGTGCTGAACGGCGTGGCCGATTACGCGCAAAACGGACACGCCCCTCCAGGAGTATTGAATGGGACGGGGTGTTTCGGCGCCCCGAGCCGTCCACCAATAGCGAGCTGCACTCTCCGGATATTGCAGACACCCAGCGAGTCCGATCAAATACACCGCGGCACTTAAACGATCGACGGCTCTATTAAAAGTTTATCGCGTGTCCGACCAAGTAATATAATTTGCACGCACGTCTTCCCGCGGTGTTGTAGTCGCGGTTTAATATTATTTTGGCAAGCAGTTAGTAGTAAATATTCAGCCTTATGATCGACCTGATCGCGACCGTAGATGTTGCATAGTAATACACGGGACTATATGAAATTAATTAAAGACCAAGACGAGATCAACGGAGGTTTCGGCGTGGCGGGTCTCGGTGATAACGATAATCACTCCGAAAGGCCTGGGACCATCGGAGATTTTCGCAGGTTATCATCGACACGGCCGTTTGATTACGGCGATACAGAAGATCAACAACCAGCCACCACGGCAGCTACGGCCACCGCCTCGGCCGTGCCGAAAACTTCGGCTGTCGGCACATCTCTTTTCACCATAGACAGCATATTGGCACCCAACAGATCAGATTCCATGGGACGCGGCAATGTCACGGCCGCTGCGGCGGCGGCCGCAGCCGCAGGACTTTTTAAGCAGCCCATCAACTTTGGACAACTGGCAGCCGCTGCTGCCGCTTCCGGTTACGCGCATTCTAGCGCCGCCAACTTCTTAGGTAAACACTCATATATACCAGACCAATAAATGTCGTTATAAACAATTTTTAGGTCGATTGCTTAGCACGTTGACTTTTTTCCTAGACAATTGCAAAATTTAGAAAATAATAATTACCCATTCATGTACGACAAATTATAATTCATAGAACAGTATAAAAACAATAATAGAACGTTGTATATCTACTAATACTTTGAGGGTAAATGATTCGCTGAATAGAGTTGGTATTTGCCTATTAATTTTAGTGACTATCCACACCATGTGAGGAAAAATAATAAGGTAAACGAAAAAATGACGTTTACATAGAGCTTGAAAAATCATAACGGTAATACTAATACATAATTTTATTATATAATCAATTATTTGATGTTTAATTTTAGTGTTTTCTTTTATCTTTTCTATGATACACAAAAAACGATTTCTCTTATTAACTATTTTTTTTTTTTTTTGTTAATAAAAATGTTTATTTTAATATTCTTTTCATCGGTAGTTATGAATATAAAGGACGACATTCTAACAAACATTTTATTTTCAGGATTTTCCTGATTATATTTATAGAATACATTATTTACATTTTAAATTATGTTAACATTAATTTACAATTATAAGTAATGCCTCGTATATACTTTATTAACATTTCAGAGTTAATTCTAAAACGTAAAAATTGTAAAGTAATGTTACAATTGCAATACGTTTAATTGTAATGTTTAAAATCTAAAAAATTTCAAAATGGTCTCATGGGATATTTGAAACGTTTTTAACGGTTTACTCGTGATTTAAATAGGTTTTTAACAAATAATAAGTATCTCCACTAAAGTAATGTTATAGCGATATAAAACTAATAAAAATAACTATGTTTAATAAAATATTATACACAATATATATTGAAAATTCGAGTTTTCTTAGATATTTTTCTTCTATGGTTGTAGCAACTCGCGCTGGATGTCAATAGTTAATTATAATTAAAAGATGCATAAGGCTGTTATAAATTTTAATTTAAATATCTTTGAGTTTATTCAAAATTGTCATTGCATCAAAAATTATAAAAACTGAAAAAAGCTTCTAGATTATTAAAGTCTAATTCTACTTATAGTGTGTTCCTTTTTATAGCAAGAAACTAGTTAATTTCTCATCAATAACAAGTTTTCATAATGGTTGCTCTAAATATAATTATCACCCTACCTAAATAGTAAGAATTACAACAAAGTCATAAATTAAAAAAAATTAATTTTATTGAAAAATGCTGTATGTTTGCTGCTCGTAAACTAAATAAAAAGCCTATTTTGACGAAAAGTATCGTATTATATGTTTCAAAAGAAAAATAAAGCTTTTATATATGATATAAGAATTTTATTATAAATAAATTTATAGGTTCTTTTTACTAAAATTTAAATATTGTACAACCCCATTGTATTACCAAATGTCATAAGCATTCAACGTAACTTGTTAAAACGAATTTTCTTCTTCTTTTTTTTTTTTTGAGAGAGAAATACTTTTAATTATTAATTTTATTGTTTTTAAGCAATAAGAGAATTTTCTATAAAATTGAACTTGTAATTACATAAATATTAAATTAAAAATTTTGCAATATAATTAAAAAAAAAAAAAAATTTAACTGCTTACTGTTTATTCAAATGTATTGACGTTTAAAATGATATTAATAATCCGTATTGAAGAATAATGATAACTAATTAGTAAAAATTTTCATTAATGAAAATAATGAATTACGTTTCTTAATAATTCATCAAATTATAATTGATTATGTCACAATATTATTACAAATGGATTTTAATTGGAATTGAAAACATAATTTATCCAACTCTAATTTGATATTGATAACTCTCTCCCATTCGGAATGTAAAAATAAGTTTATTTTGATAAGAAATAGTCATTTCAATAGTAAAAATGAATTTTAATTATAAAATTTAATTAAATAAATGTTTAGAAAAAGCCATAAGTACAACCTATCTAAATATTATTATCCTTTTTGTTGACTGTCAATTGCGTTTAAAATGTCCAATTTAATGTATTGATATGCGTAACTTTTCAAAAGTACGAATAAAATATATTGTAAGTTCTTCGTAAATTTGTTATTATAAATATTTTGATATCTTTTTTACCTTGATGCAAAAATTCAATTTCGATAGTACGCTTACTTCTTTTGAACATGTACAAATTATCAGTTTAGTGAATATCGTTTAAATTTTACAAAACAAATAACTTTTAAGTGCACTATCAAACGTCATAAACGACAATATAATAATTTCGATAAATCCGCGAAATCAAATAAAAAGTACACTATTTCACTTGGCTGATGCGAATTGCATAATATGTTTGTATTCGTAAAACCGTGTCGCATTGATGTTTATTTTTTGAAATATGTCTAATACACGTGGGTAGCGGTTTCATAGATAATATTTTTTGTAGTAAACTGTGTACACACCCCTTGCCAAATTTGTACCCCGTATTGTGGATGTAATGTTTGATATTATAAATCCGCGTTCGATATGCAAAGGCTTCACGAATAATTGCTTCCATATTCGAAAAGATCACGTGGACCGTATAAAACCCGATGGCTGTGCAGCGCTTTGTGTGTCATTCAAAACTCATATTTTTCAAGTATAATAACATTGGAAAATTACACCTGATCGGTCATGAAGGGCGTTGTGTAGTTGACGAGTTATTGATATCGTATCGCGTACTACACCTATTTTAAAAACGTTCTGGCAACTATCACTTTTGGTGTATTTATCCCAATTCATCGCGCAGACAAACGTGATAATTACGATTGCTAACGAATGATTTACTTTCCATTATTACGCATCTTTCAAAATAGTTACCAAATGAAAACCGAAGGACGCGATTGACACAAAACAAACGACCAGGTAACGTAATGGTCGCGCAATAAAGAAGATCGCAGGTGTATTATTAAGACGTTACGACTCGCGACAAGAGATCCGGCAACGCAAATGCGCTTTGTTCTAAAAAATCTTAGGAAAAACTGTATATTTAACAGTTTTATTTTATTTCTTATTGGCTGTGGGCAAAACCACTCGGATGTGTGTGGGGATCGAACTTTAATCAACCATGAATAAGTAATGCATAACGGCTGTATGTGTTTGCATTGTTCCCAGTCTGTGGTTCAAATCAGATCAACGGTGCCTTGGGCGCGGCATTATACGTTATGCATATAAGCATAGTAACAACCCTCTCGTCTTCACCTCTTACATTTCCGAAAACCCATACACTGAACTAACATACCAAATTGAAAACACTTATTGTCCACAATACGATCTGCAATATTGTTTTATCCGGAATACGGTTTTCGGATATATATATTTTTTTTTTTCATAATTTATTCAACAACCGCGCAAACGGTTAATGTTCTTGTTTCTCGACAGTTTCATCACACTTTGTGTTTGTTACAGTAGCTGCTGCCGGTTATCAAAGTATATATCCCAGCTACATGATGGCGATGGCTGTGAGTGGAAATCACGGATCAACTAACGGTGGTCCACACCACAGTACAGCTTCAATGTTCAGTGGACCTCCGGCCAAAAGGAAAAGAAGGCACCGGACAATTTTCACGGAAGAACAGCTCGAACAGTTGGAAGCCACGTTCGAAAAAACACATTACCCGGACGTTGTGCTCCGAGAACAATTAGCACTCAAAGTAGATCTTAAAGAAGAACGAGTGGAGGTAAAACATTATTTTTTATTAACACATAAAACAAATGAAAACGTTTTTCATTCGCTTCGATCCAAAAGTAATTCCAAGAATACTCTGATTATAGAGTTAAATTTTGTATACGAGTAGTAATATAGTCTTGTGGAATATTGTTTAACGAATTACAAAGAGATATTGTGTTTAAAAGGAAATTCACGAATTTGACATATTTTAATGCAACAGGTATTTCAATAGGTAGTTTTCCAAGAACATTACTATGAGCTGAAAGTGGGAGGAAACCTAACAAATTACACATTAACCCCTCGAAATCGTTAACAAAATAACTATGAATTAACTCTTAGTTATTACTTTGCCTACTATTTTACACGAGAAAATGTCTCAAAGTGTATTTTAAAAATAATATAAACATTTTTTTTTTCTCACATTTACAATGTTTATATTTTATCTAAACGCCAAATTACTGTTACAAACACGAATCGTTGCCGTATTCAAAAATAATTAAAAGAGATATGATTCCCTCCGTTGGACGTGTTGAATCAATATCTAAGACAAATAATCGNCGAATTTGACATATTTTAATGCAACAGGTATTTCAATAGGTAGTTTTCCAAGAACATTACTATGAGCTGAAAGTGGGAGGAAACCTAACAAATTACACATTAACCCCTCGAAATCGTTAACAAAATAACTATGAATTAACTCTTAGTTATTACTTTGCCTACTATTTTACACGAGAAAATGTGTCTCAAAGTGTATTTTAAAAATAATATAAACATTTTTTTTTTCTCGCATTTACAATGTTTATATTTTATCTAAACGCCAAATTACTGTTACAAATACGAATCGTTGCCGTATTCAAAAATAATTAAAAGAGATATGATTCCCTCCGTTGGACGTGTTAAATCAATATCTAAGACAAATAATCACCCAACATAAGGTAGCTAAAATTTGTTTGATATTTGATGACCCCTTAACTATTAAAAAATCCGAGGTTCTATACTAATATAGCATTAACAACTCAACAAATGAATTTTTATTTTTTTTTTTCTTAATTTATTAATTAGTTACATACTTTTTAACGTGAAATTACATCGCGGTACAATTATCTATGATCAGCAAATGTCAACTGCGTACATTTCTATTGAATAAAAGTTGGTGAAATAACTTATGTGACTCCAACGCGTATGGGGTGTAATTGATAGGAAATCTGTGTATATTGTAGTTAGGGTTAAAAGATCTCTTTTTCTTTCCTTCTCGTTTTAGGGGTGAGGAATCACGCTGTGCATGAGTGTTTTGATTGGGTTCGGTCGAGTGGCTTTAGGGTAACAATGAACCTTCAACCTACTGGATTTATTTTAATTAAATTGCATGATATGGTTTCGTTTTCTCTATTTCCGTAACAATATTCGCGTGTTTACAAGACGAATTAATAGGAATGGCGTTTGTACAGTTTCTCCGTTGATGATTAACCAACTTAGGGCACTCTGTGTTTTTGTTGATCTTCGAACCCTTATAAATGAAAACCTCTAATTGTGTCAAAAGCTTTTTATTATTATTAGCTCTTTTGCACTCACACAATTCATAAACCCATAGAAGTAATAATAGTCGACTTTTATTTTTTTTATTGTTGTAAGCGTAGTCTTGGGATGAAATAATTAATGATTTATTTATTATTAATATTGTGAATATAACTCGACTGTGGCTTCCAATTAATTACAACAAACGACAAATAACAAGAAGGAAATAGTAAAATTTAGCACAATTTGGAAGATCAAAATGCTACTGCGTCTTTATTAAATTGCATCACCCAACACGGTTATTTAATAGCAACAAATGTTATTATTTACCGACAATTTTTATTTGAGTTCGATTCATCAAACACGTGATATTATTAAATAATTTGCATATTTGCCAATTGATGTAGTAAAATCATATGTTGTATTAATGATAATACAGTAATAATTTATTTCTTTATTGTCAAAAGTGTAATGAAACACTTTGCAAAAACTGAATGATATTGGCCACACATGAATCTAACAAATATGTTTGTTAAATTCCATATCACTATCTGTATAGTAATTAAAAAATTATAGCGGAATGCGCGATATAATTATTTATGATATTTATCAACTTAATCAGTTTAAAACGACATTACAACAAATTTTTTTGTACGGCTTCATTTTTGGAAATTATACACCTGAAACTTTTAGTGACTTCGACAAGCCTCGAGGTATTTCATCCGTACAATAAAAGCGGAATAGAATGGAAATTTAAAAAATACAAATCCAAAAAGAAACCTAAACTCCGAGCAAACAAAACAGATATTATTACTCATAAAGCCGAGGGAAGGAATTATGCAAAAATAATACGTCAATTTTTTTTCGAGAATCCTTTTTGCCGTAATAGCACAGCTATGTATAAACATTTTCAATAGAAATAAAACGGTGTGTTATTTTTACGTAAAATGTTATTATTTTATTATATTAGTATTTATTTTTAATGTATAAGAATATGGCTGCTGAATTTTATTTTATTATTATTACTGTTGTATGGCTAACCAACTGTAACGCAGGAAATACAATAAGCTCCCCAAGACCGCAACGTCATCATCTGAAGTCTGTAGTCGTAGCATTTAAATCCGATCGTGGGAAGAGCAGACATTTGTTATCAATACAGAGAAAAGTTTCAATTTATCGATTTGCATACATTCGTTATATATATATATATATAAATAATCGTATCTAAATGAATTTATTTATAAACTCCATGCGCATAAAATAGTTAAAAATAAAATTATGGAATGTACAAGAAGAAAAATATAACAATATTAACCCTAAAACAGTTAACAGTTAACTTGAAGATTTTTAATAAAAATTCGATCAAATATACAAATCATTGCAGTTGAAATGATTACACCAAAAGTATCTATTTTAATTAAGCATTGCCGTTCGAATAGTTTTATTTTTTATAATTAATTTTATTACATAATCAACACGAGTATTAGTTAAACCCATCTTACATTTTTTTTAAAGGAATAATATACTCGTTTCTTTGCGAAATTTATTGCAGATAAAACACATTCCGGGGAGGTGGGGAAAATGCCAACAGAATATGATCAAAAAAGAATTACATTTATTTTTGTATTTTCTATTCTTGTTTATTATATAAAAATCGTGAAACATGACAGTATTATGTAGTCTACATATATTCAAGCATTTTACTCTTTACGTGCCATGTATAATATTAAAGTGCAGTTGGCATTATGTCTACGGAACCGAAATAATTGGAACAAAGACTTTTTTGATAGATGTTTCACGAGGCGGATATACATATATCTATATTTGCCTTTGTCACAATGATAATAATGCAATTTATTATTTTGTCACTATTTGCATGAAATTGACTTATTTATTTCGCCAAACAAGCACACTGTTCCAATTTTAATTATAGAATTCAGTATTCTAGTAATTTGATGTCAATGTTACATTAAATTTATGCAAAACTCAATCAGAAAATGATTATGTTATTATTATAAGTATTAATTTTAAAATACATTATTTATGTATGGAATTCAATAGTGGACCTTTTTATATATTTAACACGCGTTAAAGTAAAATAATTTTAACGATTTACTTTTATCATGAACATCAATATTTGTGATACTTTAGTAGGGGCCTTATTAAAAATATTTCATTGAAACATTTCAATAAAATCCATCGTTATATACTGTTAAATTTAGTGTTTTCAAAGTTAGAAACCGTAAATTATCAAGTTAATAAAAGTTGATTATAAATGTAAATTTTTAGGTCTGGTTTAAAAATCGTCGTGCTAAGTGGCGAAAACAAAGGCGTGAAGAACAGGACCGATTAAGAAAAATGCAACATCATTTGGTAGATCAGCCAGTAGTATCAAATGGTTTGGCTGCTGCGGTGGCTGCAGCAGCAGCAAGAAACGGAGAACATTTGCGCATGGTACACCATCACGAAGAAGAAATGGAAGATGATCCTGATTTGTCTGATCTAGAAGTAGCTTAAAATTTAAGTGTACGCGTCTTGATAAAGATAATGGTTGCTCGAGTCTTCTCAAAAGTGTCAAAAATGGGAGCATAAGAGACTTAATCTCCTCTGAAATATTTAAATAGCTACATAACTAAAAAAATCCAACCCAGACAGAATTTGTATCTATGCCTTTGGGTCAATAGAACTCTTAATACATAAAAGTTATTAACACTTCTTTATTTTTTAATTCAATTAAATTATAAAACGTACGAATTGGTAAAACCCATTTGGACTGAAAAATTATAGTTACATAAATAAAATATTTCTTGAAAAACGATGTAAACAAATTATGTTTTTTTTTTTCAATATGCTGTATACCTTAGTACCTAAAGTCTTTATTAAGTGAAAAAAAGATTTGTTTAGTATAATAAAAATAAACGTACTTATTAGTACCTTTAGTTTGTCTGAATTTATAACAGTGTTTTAAAGTTTAATAAATAATTGAAGTCTTATTATAAACTGAATTAATAATTTAGTTTTTATATTGTAAATAGAAAATATTTATAATTTAAACAATCAATTTTCGTAATATATAATTACGAATGTATCACCACAATGAATTCTTAGTTTCATTATTTCACATTGTATTTTATTAAAAAATAAGTAAACTGTTCTTATTAATTTAAAATTATATACGTAAGTAAATATTGTCTGGGTTTAAATAAAAAAGAAATATTTTATAGTAACTACTCGTACAAATATGGTGAAGTTTAACAAATAAGTTGAAATTTACAACACGATTAAATATTAAAATATTAAATATTTTAATATAAAAATATGGTTTATAAAATGTTTTTGTTAATTAGTTTTATCAATAATAGTAATTTTAAACAACCAAACTTGTGGTGGTATTTGAAACTATTTATAATTGCTATGAAGAATATAAAAAGTTAATATTAAAATCAAACATTTTTATAAAACCTTTTGTTAATTATGAGTGTCATACTTTGTTTATGCTTTATAATAAGTTGATATATCTAGTCATTAGTATTATTAAGTATTCTGTAAAATTATTATGTATTATTTATAAAGTATTATAAGATCAATAAAAATCGCATTTTAACTAATTAAATTAAGGGAAATAATTTTATTATTATTGCTATTTATTTTTTTTGTAATATTTTAGTTAAATAAATAACTTATGTATAATTATTTGGTTTTTTTGTTTTTATTCTTCTTTATTAAATATATTAATTAAAGCAAATAGTCATCAGTTTAAAAAATTGAGACATTGAGGATCGCTGTTTGAAACTACTTATATCGTAGCAAAATTTTTCCATACTGCTAATTATTTTAAATAATAATACCGTCAAAATATATTATGCTTGAGAAGAAATTAACAATAATAATGTAACAGAAATAATAAGTATTGAAAAAATTGACCGATAGCAGAATAAAAGAATAAAAAAATTTAATGTCCCAAAATTTTATCTATTTACACTTGAAAATACAAAATAAAAATAGATTTTATATAAAAAAAAAGTTACTCAAACAGAAAATCGATTTCTGAACTATAAAAAATACAACTTATTTCTTTTTAACATTGTCGCAAGACAAAATTAGAGACATTGTGTCTCAGATTATTCTATTCCTAATTACAAATGTAAATTGTCCACAATTATACTTTCCATAAGTTGTATACGATATAAAGTATTATTATTCAATATTATAATAATTCGTTATTTTGTAGAGCTCCTTATTTATTTTTATCAATTAAACCACATTATGTTATGATTTAATATAATATTTGTTGTGTTTATTCAGTTAATAGTTAAATTGATCAAAAAATATGATTCATTTAAGCTTATTGAATGTACTTTAAGTATGAAAATTGTAATAAAACTAATGTCGATGTATGAATAGTTGGTAGAATAGTATAAAACGTTCTCCGCTGTGCCATCGGTGTTTATATGCTAGATTAATTATATACATCATATACTAGAAAATAAAAAACTTAATTGTACTAATAAATAAAAGGAAATCTGTTCCTAACCTATGGTAACATATATAGCCATAAGCCATGTATTGTGCGCGATCATTTTTAAAAGTATATTATGAATGATATGTAGTTCATTACTATGTCATTTGCAAAAGATGTTTAGATTTTCGAAAGGTTAATCTTCTCTTATAAACGAATTCATAAGCATTGTTGTATTTACCGAACGTGCTTTTCTCCCTTGGCAATTTCTCCCCTATTTCCCTTGAGCTGTATTTAAAACCTATAAGAGACCAAGGTGTATATGTACCTACAAAGATTAGGATTAGAGATGTTCGGGTAAATCATGAGATCAAAAGGAGGGACATCAATTGTTGTGAAAGTATTATACAAAATGTATATACTGAGCAATATACAATCGACTGTGATATTCTTAAAATTTTAACATAGACCACCAACCCCTAAAGACATGAAATGACATGTAATACCGAATAAACCAACTGCAATACCTATACATAATATTTTATTATTATACAGTGTAATATATAATGCACCCTTATAACTTAAAAGTATATCATTTTAACAATGTGACAACACTTTTATAAAATAATGTCTTTATAGGGACATCATCTTATAAATGATAACTGTTGTAGAAATTACTTAAAGGTAAATAAGTTAATTAAGTAAATAACAATTTGAACACCAGTAAAGTAACTTAGATTAATAATGCGTATCTAAATAGTTTTCCATAATTTTAAATTAACTATACAATAGCTGTAATAAGTTAAAATCAAGAACAACATTAACTGTGCTCAAAATATACACTTGCTTTAATTCTGTTATTATTTTTACCCCTTACGACCTAAAGTAGTTCTCCTTACTACCACCCACCACCTACAAATGCATAGTAGACTTAGCGGTATGTATGCTTACAAAATAAAAAATAAATCAAAATGATAGCCCTTGCTAGAATTGATTTTTTAGTAGGATGAACTAGTAAATTATTCAAGCCGAGTGATATAATAAAAATATTAAATCTGCCTAGTTTAAGTCCTATGATTTAAGACAAGTTTCTTTAATTTCAAACAAACATAAAAATAAACAGTAGTTCAATCTATTAAACAGATTAACTTTTTATTCTATAAAAGTAAGTAACATTTTGTGAAATAGACTTTTCAACAAATTGTTATAAAGAAAAAATTATATAATTTAATGATTGTTTTAAAATTATTAATTATAAAATATCCACGGTAGCGTAAGTCATTATATCTTATTAATCAATTTTTTTTTTAAATATTGCTTAAAATTTCATAATAATTATTAAATGAATATATAATTATTTAATTATTACTTGATTCACTTATCACTTGATTATTAAAATTACATATTCAATAATTCAATTTGAGTTCACTAGGATTCAGAAAGATTCTCTGTCATACTCATGTTTGATTTATTTGTAAATTTAATACCTTCTTAATGATATTTAAAAACGTGTCAAGATTTTTATGAAAGTAAAGCTAACTCATAAAATCCAATTTTGTTAGAATGATTGTAAAATATATCTTGTTTTACCATCATAGGATCCTTAGCCTAATTCGAATTTTTCAGTTAATTGCGTAAATAATATGCACAAGATAAAAATTAGCTATTATTATGATAAAATTAGTTAAAATGACTCAATGAACGTTAGATGGTTAGTTCAAATACAATAATTGTCGGATCAGCCAACATTTAACCGAACCCAATTATACTAATAAATATATCGAGTAAAAAAAAAAAAAATACTAAATTAAACGTTGTTTAAAAAATGTTCATTTATTTCTTATCACTAAAAAATCTTCATTTCAATATAAAAAAAGTATATCTTAGATTTTTATCGATAGACTGCAAATATTATGGATAAATAAACTTTTGTACTGAGAAAATAAAAGAAACAAACCAATAGCTTATTAAGCCACGATGGATTTCACAGACCTAAATGCGCATTATATTGGATCTTAATAACTTCTGTGATTGCATTTCTTGTATGTGTTTATTGTGGTACCTTCCTACTTTGTACCATATTTGCTTCTGTGTATAATGTGCGTACGCGAATGTGTATGGCCACCGGGCTTGGGACCACCCATCTGAACCGTTTAAAGCCGACAGAACACATGTTGTATAAATAAGTTAATCCGCGGTACACATTGTTTGGCCTTTTGTGAAACCGATATACACACACGGCGTGTTTTATTGTTTGTGGCGGCGACGGCCCGGTTTCATCCAATGATCCAGTGTGTCCGCTCCAGTGTGAAATTGGAGTTTGGATTTGTGTCCCGGTGGCCTCGGCTTGCTCGTGAATAAATATATTATACCTATAATATTATACGTGCGCTTTCGACAGGCCCCGCCTAACACAAAGCCATTGTACATATTATAGTGTGGTGTAGACCATAGACTCAGCGGTTGGGATTTTCATCGTCGAATATACACCACTATATTATAATCGATATGTTTATTTGGTTGAGTCGATGACCCAAGCCGCTTTTTCAAACAATTAGGTCTCGATCGTCGGAGGTGAAGGCGGTGTTGCCACTCGATTGGTTTCATAGATGCGTAATCTTTATTGATTCATAATTTTTTTTCCTTTGAATAATCCATAGAAATGTACAAACTTTTCAGACAAATCGGCGTCTTTGAGTTTTTGAAATCTATGAATCAAAAGTAAATATAAACAAGTTCGAATTCGACGGGGCTCTATAGAATATCCTGATGCGTTATGAACACTCAACATACGTTTTTGAGCTATACAATTATGGTATGGTAAATTATTTTATAGATAAATAGGTTTCATCATGGAAAAATTATGGCATCACGAAATACTTGAAAAAACATTACTCTATAGAAGCTACGATGAAATAGCTTTGTGGTTTTTCAAGCTACGAATAACAAACTAGATTAGCTCCCGGAAGATTTAACTTCTTTATGATGTGAATCAATATCGTATTTTAAAGACGAGAAAAAAAAAGGAAAAATCTAATCATGCTTAGATGAAATGTACCTGAGTACGTGCGTTAGTCTAGAACAAATGTGTTCAGTTAATCTATTCTAAGCCTAGGCGCGCGAATAGATAAGACAAATCACTGGTACTAAATATGGTTTCCTTCTACTTTAATAATACTTTTATGGAGCCATAAATGTGATTTTTCAACATTTTTAGGGGCACTACTGACATCTTAGAGGATTCTATAGAATCTTATAAATAGCCAAACAACCCTCTTATTTTCATCTCTGATCTTGGAGCTGGCGTTAAATATAAAAATACGATATTTTAAAATTTATTTTTATTACCTTTGATTTTTTCTTGGCAGCTTTAAATGGATAGTTAGAAGTATTAACGTGTTAAATTAAAATTTTTTTTCCACCATATTAGTTTCGTTCATTATAGTGTTTGATTCAAGTGAGACTATATTCGAAAAATTAAACGTTGAATTCGATTACATCTTACTTGTTTTGACCTTTTAATTTTACCTAATATAACATTCATAAGATACTTTAAAATTCTTTAATAATATGAGTTTATTTTCACTAAAAAAGCATAATAATCTAATATTGAATTTAAAATAATTTTATAAATAAAACGACGGCTTTCGTGACAAGTCACTGACTAATATGATATGTTTTAATATCTACAACGACCATTATACCGATTAGAATTAATGATATCAATAATTGAACAGTTGATAAAGTTAGTTTGATAAGTAAGCAAGTAGGTGTGTAGTTATAGTTTACCAACAATAGAAATTATCACGACATTACATTTTTTTTTTTTCGTTTTAAAATAATTCAGAATATTGTTATATTTAAAATAATTAATTGACATACAGTAATTTTTCGGCAGTTAGGACTCAATGTCAGCTGATACTTAAAAATCAAATTTTGCTAATTAGGGTAAAAAACTCTTACATGAGACCCCTCCAGATCGTTCCTACCTCTACTACCAAAATGATACGGAATTTTTTGTTAAGAGGACGTAGTGTACATTTTTTCATGTGTGACTAAAACAAATAATCTCGAACAAATAATTTTACTATTCCTTATACGTGAAACTGATTTTTTTTAAGAGGACCTTTTTTTAGTTTTTTATTATACAAAATAATAATATCTAACAATGGAGCATTGTTAATTTTTGGAAGAGGTATTGCATCTAAAAATAAATATAGAACGAACCTTATTATTTATAGAGCCCTAATTATAGAGTAATTTCAAACTGTTACTTTTCAGTTTTTAAGTTGTTGGAGTAGAAATATTGTTACCAACTCTATAAATAATGTGTAATATTTTATTATAAGTTGGTAACACTGTAATAAATGACGCTTAGAGTTTTTTCACTAAATTAATGGATGCTTGTAAACGTAATATTCAATGTAAAATAAAAGTGATCACTTTTGTGTGTTGCATGTATTGTGTGATCCATTTAAAAATTTTAAGACGTTAACTCTACATTTTCAATTACATATTTTACCCTTATTGTAATAATTTCGTTGCCATTTTATTTGTTTCAAGTAATACTTTTATGTAATTTGTTTGAAAAAGTAGGAGCCAAGTATCTTGTGTGAAATATGTACTATATTTTGTATTAGTATTATTGTGTAACTTTAATAGCACAAAAAGCATTCAAGATGAGCTACAGTCGACCACCGCCTAGGATTGAAGGCATGGTGTCCTTAAAAGTTGACAACTTAACATACAGAACAACACCTGAAGATTTGAGAAGAGTTTTTGAAAGATGCGGCGAGGTTGGTGATATATATATCCCACGAGATCGTTTCACTAGAGAAAGTAGAGGTTTTGCTTTTGTCAGGTGAGTTATTAAATTCATTCTTATTCATTACCAAATTTTGCAAAAATGATTACAACTTAACTTTGAGCTGTTGATACAAATAATTTCATCTGTTGAGTTGAGTATCCTCTTTAGGGGTTGATATTCCTCTTCGTGGTGATTAGCTATGATTTTTAACTTTGATCTTATATGATTTGCATCAAATTAAGCTTATAATATTTATAATAATAGTGTTTTTTAATAATTATTTTATGAACTAGTATTATAGGAATATTTTTACCTTTTAAAATTGTGTGATTTAATTTTAAATATATTTTAGAACTTTTGAGAATAACTATATTTTGTTCTAATATCTCATTTTCTATTTTATACATCCTGATGATATCCTTCCTGTAGTCTAGAATACTGAGCATAGACATGTCAACTGGTAGTATCCTGGGGGTACTAAATGCAATTTGCAAAACCTAGAATATATATTATATATCTTGTGTACACAAAAAGAGTTTAGGATAATTTGGAAAGGCACTAAACATATTTCATTCTCACAAGAAAAAATTGTATATACAAATAAATTGAATTTTTTATTGGTAGGGAGAAAAAAAGATGAATGCGCCCCTCTTCTAGTAGAGCCCTGTTGATACAACTTGCAAAAAAGGTTTGAATATTCCTACAATACTACAAACTCATTTTTTTATATAATGTTACTTGAATGTAATCTGAACAAACATAACTATCATAATATTTGTATTTTAAAAAGTTTGTTTATATTATGTACTAAATTTAAAGAGTTTATCTCAAGTTTTCTTTTAAAAAAAAAAAGCATTATTGGTTACACAATATATAATTTATTTATGAAATCTTTTGGTCAAATTATTTCAATTTAGATAAACAATAATGCTAGGTACTTACTATTTGATCTTTTCTTTCATAATAGTTTAGTGATATTTTATGTTATTAGATTTTACGACAAACGTGATGCTGAAGATGCACTAGATGCTATGGATGGTCGTATGCTTGATGGTAGGGAATTGCGTGTTCAAATGGCTCGTTATGGACGTCCAACATCACCATATAGGAGACGTCGTAGAAGGTACATTAATAAATACATTCTATTTTTGAAATTTAATAAAAATGTAAATTTATTTTTAAATAATTACCATTTTTTGTTAAATCAGTTAATTATTATTATTATGTATTTATATATATCAAGAATACTTTAAAAGAACATGTCTATAGTATATTGTAGTTGATATTTTTTATTTATAAATTTTACTTAAAAATTATTATACTATAGTCAGTGTTAAATTATGTCATATTTTCATTTACCCTTAATCGTTATTCATTTTATAAAAGACTATGAGACTTTTTGAAAACACATTGATAGCAGCGACTATTTTCAGGTGTGGGGTGTAATTGGGGAGTGGCGGCTGAGTGCTGTGGCTGAGGCTGTGCTAAAGTGTAATAATCGTGCTGATTGCAGCAGAAGGCGAGGGCGTTGTTCCTGCCACTAGCAGATGCGTGCTGAGTGCTGACTAGCTGCTGTTCAGCCAAGTGCCAGTTGCAGATTTCAGTTTGCTGAAAGATTTATTTTTTTTTTTAAATGCTCTCAAAATTGAAACTGTATAGGGTTAGGAAACTTAAATTTTATACACCTTTACGCTCATTAATTTTCATTGTATTAATGGAATTCATATAATTGTTGCTGAACAAATTCCCAAACAAGTTGGGTTTTGGTCATAATGTGCGTAAATAACTACAATTTAATTTTTGTTTACTTTTATTTTCTGAACAAATAAAATGCACTTAATTATAAATATGCAAATAGTATCACTATCATAATAATGAACTGTACCTATTTTACATAAGTAACTCTAATAATCTTAATCTAGGTCACGCTCACCTAGGCGTCGATCATACTCTCGGTCAAGGTCAAGAGGACGTAAATCACGTTCTTATTCAAGATCTAGATCACATTCTCGTTCTCGTTCTGGTTCTAAAAGTTCAAGAGGGCATTCAAAATCTGCAAGTCGCTCACGATCTTAAGGTAACAATATCATTTTTTATTTTAATATTTTGTACAGTGAAGTATAACTACCTAGATAACTCATAATAATAAAATAATTTTATTTTAGGTTTGATGTCTTAATTGTGGAAATATTTTCATTGATTTTAGTTTACTGAACGCCACTAATTTTGGTTTTACTGTAATATTTAAACTTAATTCTTTTTAATAAAAATTGTTTGAATAGAATTATTTTAATAGTATTAAGTCAATATTTGTAGCTTGTATTAAAAACATAAATTAGTAATAATTATATATATTTATTATTATATAACTTCATAATATCTAGAAATGACTATGTGATGATTTTACTCTCTTAGTTAATGATATTCTGTAAAATTAGCAGTATAAATTTTTTTTATGTATGATTAACTTGAATACTGTAAGTGATTAATAAATAACCAATAATAGAAATAATTCCAAAAAAATACAGTTAAATTATTTCTGCAAACTTTTACGCTGTTTTGTGACAGTTTAAATTAAACTTTAATTAAGGCAAAAAATTTAAATTTTCAATTAAAGTTGACCTTCAATAACTTATAGTTTTCTAGTTATTATGTCAAAATATATTGTTTTAATAAAACATTTTTGACTTATTCCTACTTTTTGACCACAAATAACTAAATTTATAATAAAATCAATAAAGTAACAAATGTGTTCACTTTTATACATATTTTAGAAAACAAAAAATATCTAGAGTGTATAATTTTTGTAGTAAACTGTTATATTCAAATTACATATCTGAATTTCAATTGTTAGTTTGACTCAATTTTCCAATAAATTATGTTTTTTAAACTTGCTTTACTAATATACCATAATGAATACCTATTGATAAATTTTATCATCTGTAGAATGTAAAGTGTTTTAAGAAATGTTAAAGTTTTTGAACAAGCTAAAAAAAAGCAAAGTATTGTTTTTATATAATTTTGAATTAAATTTTTTAGATTCTATGTAAAGATAGAAAATTTTAATTTAATTTTTTTTTTTTTTTTTTGTCACTACTTTTTCAACTCTCACCAAACCCATTTCTTTCAATAATGCGTCAAAATATCACAAACATTTAAATTACCTTTACATATTAAAAAAAATGTCCCTCGTTCCTTGTAAATAGAGGAAATCTTCAAAAAAATTACAATTTTTAAAATCGATAAATTTTGATATTTTTTCCTCTTAAAACTACCATAACATTTTGAAAAATGTACGTACCAAAATAATTTTTTTATATATAGAAACCTTGGGTATTTTCCTTTCATTTGCTGTAAATTTTTTGAAAATCTGACTTTACTTGCCCACAGGGGGGTTTGAAAGTAGCAAATTTTTCTCAAACTTCAATGTTTTCAACTTAACTTTTAAAAATGATAGAGAAATACTGCGTCCTTTAATCATTTGTTAAATTAAAGATTATTTTACGTACTATAAGTTAAAAAAAATAATTGTCCGATGACTAATCTTCTACGTGCAAACAGCTGCTATAGTTAAAAAATTGTAATTTTGTGTTGAAATTTTCGATTTAAAATTTTCAACTTTAAATTGCTATAATTTTTTGAAAAATGTATAATCAACACAAATTTTTGTTTCTAAATACCTTATATATATATCTTATCCGACATCCTTTTTTTTAATTCTGACAATTTCCTCTTGTATAAAAGACGTTCAGAAACATTTGATTAAAAAATAGAACTACTAAAAATACTGAGTCTTTTAAATATATGTTAAATTATAGTTGATGTTACGTACTATATGTTAAAAAAATAAAATTTGTCTCAACGACCTATCTTCAATGTGCAAATGGCAGACAAAGTTGAACAAAAAATAGGATTTAATTTTGCTTTTGGAATAATCTACCAATTTCTTGAAATATTACATGATTTACAGATTTTCATCGAATCCGTTTGATTATGATAGTAATTTTAATCATAACAAACAGAATATATAATATGCAGTATATTAATATAAATTATTATTTAAACCACGAGTTGCATAGAAATACTTAGTAAGACATCTATTTTAACAATTTGTTACAATAAAACATTTTTAACGAAATTTTGAATTTTTCAANATATATTGACAATTCTTCTACCACTTAATTCTCTAGAAAATTGAAGTTTTTATTGAATACATAAGTAAATTATTAATGAAATGCTTTACTGGTTATTCGGTTCATTTTCACTAATCGATGAAACACTATTTTTTTCCATATGGATACTTAAACTATGTTCCGATGTACTATAGTCACTTGAGTAAAAAAGATATAGAAAAAGCTATTTATAAATATTTTTAATTAAATTATAAATAATTTTATAAGTCATAATTATTTCTTAATAGGGGTTGAAATATTTTAAAAACTATTATGATATAATTACTCACTTGGATTGTGACCATTCTGTCATTTCAGAACTGGAGGGCGTATCATGTATGACCATACTGATTCTTAGTTTAAAAAAAATCAAAAGATTTTATGATAACAGTGATGTAAATAAAATTTTTATTAATCCTGATTTATACTATTTTTCAATAAACTACGATTTAGAGGAGTACTATTTCTTACAGAATGAGATATATTATTATTATGTTAAAAATTAGAAGGTTTAAAATGTGTGGTAATATTATCTCTACATTTTTCAAAGTTAATATAAAAAGCTTATGATATATTTAGAAAAAAAATTTTATAAATAAAAACATTTAAGACCCTTGCGATAAATCCGGATTAATACTATTTTGAAGTAAATTATGATTGAATGAAGTGATATTTGTTATAGGATGAGATTTTTCATCATAATTTGATGTTGACTCATTATGTGGTATTTCATTCAATTTTCTATATAAAATAATTATTCGTCTTATAATAAGAACATTAAAAAATTTAATATGAATTTAAGGTATAAATTTTGAAGTATGTTTTTTAATATCTAAATAATATGTATTATATATATTTATAAATATAATCGATTTTTATGATAAATATAGTCTCAAAATGATGTGACTACTTACGACCTATTTTTATAGAATCTTTTCTGGATATTCTTCATTCTTAATTTAAGTTACGCTTTTGATAAAATATTTTTTCTTTTACAAGCACGTTGCTTTTTAGGTGACATTATAAGTAACGCGAGTTTCACAAAATACACAAAACGTGGTAAAGTTTAAATATCAACTTTCAGTGTAACGTTATAATGCACAATGAAGCAAAAAATAAAAGTATAAATTTTTATTTGGTCAGTATAAAATTTGTTAAAGATATTACCAAGAAATAATACACATAAGCGAATGTATATTAGATACATTTGTTTATACCAATTATCAAACAAACGGATATAGAAATCATAAAATAAATGCCACTTCACATTTATCAAAAAAATTAAAAATACCTTTATCATATATTATTTTTCTACCATTTCGTTCAAATTCAATTTCCAAAGAATTATTATTTATAACTTACCTTAAATTAAGATAGGCGTGTAAAATCTGGTATGTGCAAAAAATGTAAATTAAAAATGTTTATCTCTGAATTAAAACAATACGCAATTGCAGATTTTATTTTAGATTGAAAAATTTGAATGTCGAAATGCTCATATAAAGTTTAATTTAAGTTTATACTCACTATAATGCAAGTAAACTTAGTGCGTACGCCCACTCAATACATATATAAAATAAATATATTATGACATAGACAATCAGAAATTTGTAAAATGCTGTTTAATAACGCCAAGGCCTATTATTCGTGTTACAAACTTTTTGTAAAACTGATTCACGAGTCTTAAAACTCACAAAAAATTAAATGATATAATATACAACGTATAAATAAATTAGGACCGGTGAACTTTAAATTCATACTCAAATTTTTCATGACCTTTATTTTTTTTGTAAATAATTAATTTTTGGAGAAAGAATATCTAATTTTCGCCGACTACTAAAAAGACGGTTGATCCGTCCAGCTACCCACGAATATAATGTATACTGTGGACTCATATTCGTAACAAGAATGTTTTCTAATGTTACAAAATAAAAGTCCACGTAAATTTCTGACAGATACCCGATCAATTGATATTTTCATTATATTTACATTATTATTTACATGTAAAAATGACACACAGTAAAGTTAAAATTTAAGTCTCGTCACCCGTCAATAATAACAATTATTTTACAAATTCAGATAAGCGACTGCTAAATGGTACCCCGGTTCGTCGATAACAAAGTATAAAAATAACTGGTTTTGATTGTTGGCAAGGTAGCAGTTGAAGGGCGAGGGTAATCGGTTACCGGTCATTCAACAAAAAATTCGTCACGTTATAAATGCCACTAGGGACCGACACATTTCGATAGACAAACAATTCACTATTTTGCATAAAAACTGTTTTGCGCGGGACTACTTTATTTGATCTGTATCGATGCTTAAGTCCCAAATTTTTTACCAAATTATAAAGGAGAAAATTATCTGTGATCTAGCGTTTTTATAATTTTGATAACACAACTCTGAAGCTATTTATTAAACATTTAAAAAACCAAAAAAATAGGAATGTAAATATAAAGTACCAGAAATTATGTTAACAAAAAATTAAAAACGCTAGATCACAGATAATTTTGTCCTCTATAATTTGGTAAAAAAATTGGAACTCTAGCATCAATACAGATCAAATGAAGTAGTCCCGCGCAAAACATGTTTAAACCCGTTTTTCATTCTCTGTATGGCGTTCTCTTAAATAAGTTTCTGATCACATATCAATCTAAATAAAAAAATATTTTATTCCTCATCAAATTTTCTATTTAATATTATAAATTCTAAACTTGCAAATTGAGCTAAAATTGTGTTTAAAAGTTCAACGTTTTTAAATTATAAACTTTCATAAAAATCAACTTTAAAAGAACAAAAAAAAAGTTAAATATGTTATTTTGAATTGAAATTTTGCACGGAATGCTTTTAACATATTAAAAATTAATAATAACTTTATAAAACATTTTATTTCAATTAATTTCTTTAACGTGTTTCTAATAATTAGAAATTCCTTTTTTGAGATTATTATTAATTATTAATAATAACATCAAAAAAAGAGTGATTGAAAAAATCTAATTTATAACCTGAAATCAGCGTAAAAATTTGGTTAAATAGAGTATATGATTGGTCTATAATCATTAAAAAATATTTTATACTACTGATATGATTTTACTGTGCAATTTAGTATAAAAACGAATTTTATATTCCTATTAATTTGGAGATTTTTAATTAAAAAAAGGTATTTTTGAAATGGCCATATTTTTACAATAGTCTAATTTTGAAAATTACACGAATATTAGATAAAAAGACAATTTAAGATAGTTCAAAATTTCAAAGCGTCTCTTCTTAACTTCGAGGAGGCAAAATAATCACAATAAGTATACATTTATATTTATTTTAAGTAAGATTCATGTAAATTTTATAAAAATTGGTGGATTCATTACTATGGCAACCCTTATAAGATATTTTAAAATAAACAAAATTAAATTAAATTTGAAAACAAAAATAGCATGCTTTTTATCTACGGCACTCATTTACACGTAGAAGATAAGTTGCCGGGACAAATTTTATTTATAGTACTTTAACATATATTTATTAACGCAATATTTCCGAAATATTTTTAAAAGTTAAGTTGAAAAAATTGTCCTTTTTATACGTATATTTCAAGTTTTAATTTTCAAAAAAATAATAAAAAATTTATCAAATAAAAGGAAATTACCTAATGTTTCTATACGATAAAAAAATGATTTGGTACGTTCATTTTTCAAAAAGTTATGGCAGTTTTAAGAGGAAAAAATGCCAAAATTTACCGATTTTAAAAATTATATTTTTTTTGGAGGTTTCCTCCATTTTTTCAATTTTTAAGGGCAATATTTTCAACTAGATACTATTTGTGATATTTTGACGTATCGTTGAAGAAATCAGTTCGGTGAATGCTGAGAAAAAGTGTCGGCAGATACAAAAAACTAATATGTAACAAACGTTCTAAATTTAAAGAAAATTATAATCTTTGTAGTTGAAATCAATATTTCGACTTTTAATAACTAAATAATTGAATTATAAAAATTTAAGCTTATATAGAGTCCTATATATACTTTAAACATTTATTAAAGTGGAGGCAATTTAGGATGTAAAATTTAGGTTTTTTAGTATAATATTGTTCATCTCTTAAAAAATTTTGCGGTGATTTTAAATTAATTGTTAGACAAAATAATTTGCTTATTTGAATATTGTATAACCTCTTTGGTAAAGTGTTATTTAAAACCTTGGTTATAGTGTAAATCATGCTTTATTAACCAAGTCCATGATTTCTACACACATATGCAGCTATGTATTATGCCTAACACTGTTAGGCTAGCAGTGTTAGATACATCCTGAATCATAATATTTTATCTTTAATCTACATTATTATTTAGAGTAGTATAAGTTTAATGTTTAGATTTAAGGAAACGTTAACGTTCCTCTCGACGGTTGCGTTGTAGTACATGTAATATCTTTGTTTACACAACGTTAATTTAACTGCGCTTTGTATTTTACATTTTTTTTACTATCATTTAAGTTCCTGAAGTTTTAATTGCTTTAGTCATGTCAGCTCACGACCAAATGAGAGCCATGCTAGATCAGCTTATGGGTACAGGAAGAAATGGTAAAAAAATATTATCATTAACATTACACAATTATTACTCTGTTTATATCGAATAATTGGTAAAATTTTCAGGTGAAACAAGTCGCTATCAAGTACAATTCAATGATCCAAAAGTGTGTAAAAGTTTTTTACTTTATTGCTGTCCTCATGATATTCTAGCGTCTACTGTAAGTAAACATTTGTTACTGTGTAAAATTCATATACGTAAGAAGTTGAGCAAACTATAGTATTATGAATAATTTGATAAAAATTAAATGTATATAGTTAAATAAATTGTGTTCCAAATTTATTTATTACCTTAGTTTAGTATACTAATATTAAATCTATTTTAAAATCTAATCAAAATTTTTATTTTGAGAATGACTAGGATAAAATATAATCAAAACTAGTTTTTTGTTATCTGAAGTTTTAAATTTAAATTGTATTTTAAGATTATTAATATGTGGTGATAACTAATTGTAATATTTCAATTATTATTAAAAAAGTAAAATAATATATTTTTATTTACATAAAAGTACCAAACATAACTTTTTAAATTTGTGTTAGGTTAAGTTTTACGTAGTTTGAGTCAAAAAAGTAAATAAGCTGTGTAATATAATTTTAAAATATGTAAAATTGAATAATTTCAATAAATTTTTTAAAACTGAATATTTTATAACTTATATGGACAAAATTATAATTTCCTTTAAATTAAATAAGTGTTTTAAGATATATTACTAGAATTGAATAGCTGACTACATATTTATATTTTTAATTAGTATGGATTTCAACATTTTTTTGTATACTTTGCAAAATTGGTAATTTATTTAAAATGTTTAGCTATGTCTACAAAATTGAAAAAAGTTGTATTGACCACTACTTTGATTTAACAATTATATATGACAAATAAATGAACAAATTGAAATTTTTTAACTTAGTGTATTAATACAAATATTGATTTTCCAAAGGAATAAATGTGCTTAAGGTTTAGAAATATAAAATTTTGTTAAATTACATTTTTTTTTTAAATATTTTAATAAAATTATTAACAAAATGAATCATCTATAGTCAATTATTCAATATAGTATAATTATAATTTAGAAATAATCTAAAAAAATATTTTATGATAATTTGATATTTAAAAATTTCTGCATTGGAATTATTAAATATGGGTCATTTTTCAAATAAATACTTAGTCATTTTTTAATAAAAATATATACAGGATCATTAGAATTTAATGAACCGACAGAATTTTCAATCAAATAACATTTGCTATCAATTATGAAGTTTTTTTTATGTTTATCCCTTGTATCTCATAAAGATGTTAACTTAATTTTTTCAAATAACAACATATATAATAACTAGCTTATTTATTAGAAAATAACTAGTTTGATGATAACTTTTGGACCATTAATGTAGAAGTTAATAATAATAACAGGAAGTGAGGCGTGAGTCCTGTTATTTTTATCATTTAACATTTCTTAGCCTTTATTTCTCCTCTCTCCAAGATTTAAAAATGTTAGTTTTTGGATACTGGTCTAATATTTGTTATCAACCAATCTTTTTTTAAAATAGATTATTACTTAATAAATAAATAAGATAGTTAATTATGTATGTTGCTACTTAAAAAAATTAAGTTGTCACTCTTATAAGATATAATATGAGATAATTAATGGATAAACATGAAAAATATTTTATGATTGATAAATTCATAAAAAATCTAGCTAAATGATATTTTAAAAATTATGTACATAATTTTTATTTTATCAAAAAAAAAAAGTGCTGGTTCAATTAATCTAATGGCATTTAATTTTTTTTAATGACAGTACATATTTAACTAGTTTATAAAATAGTAAATAATCTTACCAAGATAATGACTGATAATAATTTTTGGACCAGTATTACAGAAGTTTATTAACAATTTAAAGTATAGACTAGAATGTGGAGTGGGTGCTGCTATTTTTATCACTAGTCATTTTCCGACTGTACACTTTGTCCTGCCATATAAAAATGAGAATACCTTTCAAAACACTTCCAAGTATTGTTATCGACTTGTCATTTTCTTATTTAGATTATTTCCTATTTTTTAAGTTAGTTAAATATGTATGTGGCTATTTAAAAAAAGAAAGTTGACACCCCTTTAAATTATGAGGGATGATTCTAAAAAGTAATTGTTTGCTGATGATTCAAAAACTATGTGTAACTAAAAGATATCAAAAATTATTTTGTCAATATTGTATTTGTTTTGTGAGTAATAGAGTGGTTTATGATAAACATATTACCCTGTATTATTTTACAATTTTTTTAATTCATATAAAAATTTAAGTAAGAAGATACAAATAAATTTCTTTCTCAAAAAAAAAAATTAATTAATTTTATGTTTGTAGTAAAAATTGCACTTTTTTTCTTTAAATAAGAATGTAACAATATTTATTAACTAATTATATATTTTTTATGTTTACATAAGTAATAAATATTTTACAAGAATTTATTTTTGAAATTTTTAAACACTTTTGCTAAGAAAAACAATTTATATCAATATTGGGGTTTTATTAATCAGATTAAAAATTGTGTCTGAGTTATCCATAAATATAGTTGTCTCTTATAAGGTTATTTTTCTACTAATTTCAACTTAAAATGTAAGTACTTGTAAAACATTTAATATAATTTACTTGTTTACATAATAATTAAATAGATAAATATGTATTATACAAAAGATGCCAATAAGGATCAATGACTTTAGACTACAAATTTTATATTAATATTTAATATAGTTGTTTAGGAATATATTTTTATTAATACTCATTTTATTAATACTTCAATGAAAACGTTAAGGGTAGTTTAAGGCTATGAATCTTAAGTTTTTATTTCCAATTTAATTTGTATATTTATGTAAAGATTTCTTAGTAAATAATTTATGTCAATAAATTAGTTAAAACCATATTTTTACCTATCAATGAGCATTTTTTAAATCATTAAAATAATTTTTCATGAAAAAGTTGACTAACATTTCCACTTCAAACTTTATAAAACTTAATGTAACTTACATTACAAGATTAACATCAGGAAATGTATTGAGATATTAATCCAATCAGGCTGAATGATAATGTATAATTATAAGTTAAAAATATTACCTATCATAATATGTAATACATATTTAAAGTAATTGATGTTTGCGTGTCTTAGTAGTAATAATATTAAAGAAATTAAAATTTTTTAATAATAATTCCCTTAATGTTCTTTGACTATTAAGAACCTGGGCTATTTTAAAATATTTTTACTTATTATTTATATTTGTTACAATCAATTATTTACAGTTTCAATTAAAATTTCAGAAGTATTATTTTTCAAATTTAATTTACAAAGAATTAAGCATTTTTTCTGTCATTGATTACTTATTGGCAATGTGATACATTATTTATTTATCATGACTTAACAATACATTCTACAAATAAACGTGAGTACATAACTAATGTAATAATATATTTTTTAATGATACTTAAATTAATTTTTTACATTAATAATTTAATGTCAATGCAAATGTGTTTAAAATATTAATATCAACAAATGTTGTTCATTTTAATTTAATTTTAATCATTTTTATAAATGATTATTAAACAATTTGCATATTATTAGTATTATAAAAAATATTTCAACTACATATGAAAAGTTAGACTACTTAAAATCGCAACTGGCAACTTGTGAGTAGTTTATTAATACTTAAATATAACTTAAAATTGTAATATTTATTGAGTCTTATGATATCATCAAGGACAGTATGTACATCAAATTCAGTTTATTACGTCTATTTGAATGCGAATGTTTTACTCTTAATCCTGATTATTGTCACCCTCTCTAGGAATAGTCACAAACGAATTGTGTTTTGATTCGTTACAAGACAGACAATGATACAGAGATGGGAAAGATGCTCGCCATCAATGCGTCAATGTCGGTGAGCAAATAATTAATTGGTCGTCTGTCTGTAAGTCAAACAATTTTGAGACAACGACAGAGCTATCTGTTAAACTATCTTATTATTAAGTATATGCTTATTATAACTATGTACTTTATTTTTAAATAATGACTGAGCATAATTCATTCAGGCAATTTGTCCTCTGAGGTGTATGCAGGTGTAAGTTTTCAGGTTTACTATTCATAACGTAAGTGAACGATTGGTATAACACATATTTCCATCATAAGAAATGAATCCAAATTTTATTTTCAAAATTTCCATAACTCCAAAATTCCTTTTAATGATGTTACCATAATAAATGTAGAATATATCTAACATAACTATTATTTCAGCGCATGGACATTGGAGAGTGTCCAAAAATACATGATAATGCATTGAGAGCTGATTTTGAAAAAGCCCAACAAAAGTTTGACTATTTCTATGATGTAGATGTAAGTATGCACTTTGTATTTCTTCAAATTATTATGTTGTACTAAAAATATATAATTATTATAGGCTACTGAACATTTACAAGCATTCATTGGTGATTGTGATCGTAGAACGGAAGCAGCTCGTAAAAGATTACTTGAAACTCAAGAAGAGTTAACAGCAGAAGTAGCAGAAAAAGCTAATGCAGTACATGAATTGGCAGAAAAAATAGGTCAAACATTAGCTAAAGCTGAAGAACTAGGTGCACAAGGTTTAGTTGATGAAAGTCTAAAGTTAATGAGTGAAGTAAGTAAATTATTCTATACTGCATTCAAAATTCTAATTGTATTAAATAAACTATAGATTGAAGAACTACGGAAGAAAAAAGCAGAAGCGGAAGATACATATAGAAATTCAATGCCAGTCAGCAGTTACCAACAACAAAAGTTAAGAGTTTGTGATGTGTGTTCTGCTTATTTGGGAATTCATGATAATGATAGAAGATTAGCTGATCATTTTGGAGGAAAATTACATTTAGGATTCATTAAGATAAGGGAAAAACTAACTGAACTAGAAGTAACATAACTATTTCTAAATAAATATCTATTGCTCATTCTCATTTATTAATTTTTTTTACAGAAAAATTACGAAGAACGTCGTGAAGCACGTCGCAAATTTGATGAACAAGAAAGATACAAAAGAGATGACAAAAGAAGTAGTTATAGATCAAGAAGTCCAGATCGAAGTGACCGTTATAAGCGTTCCAGGTATGATTATTTTGTGTATTTTCTACTGTTTTTGTCTGCTTTTATCTTTCAAGTATAATGATCAAATTAAATTTATTTTTTAGATCTCGTAGTCGTCATAGTAGACATCGTTCTCGTAGCCGCAGTCATAGTAGAAGTTACAAACATGACAGAAGAGATAGGGATAGACGACGTTATTAACTCTTTGTAATTTTATTTATTTATATCACTGGTCTATGTTTTTCTTTTGTATAAAAATAATTTTAACAATACAACACTAGCTGTTTATTATAAAATAATTACCATTATTATTAAAAAAATAAGACAAATTATAGCTAATACATAAAATAAAAGTTTTGTTTAATTAAAATATTATGTATATTAGATTTTTGACAGTACCAATGGTAGTATTATTGTAAAAATATCATTTAACAAATAATTTTAATTGCAATTTAATATTTTTATCAGGATAAAATTATACACAGTGTAAAGAGTAAAAAATTACTTTTTGTATGTTCATGTAAGTACAGTACTTGATAAACACATAAGAATAATAAAAGTTAATTAACCTTCATAAAATAGAATTATGTGATGTAATACAAAATAAAACTTAAGAGTTAAAATACAATGTATTGTTTTTTAATATAAAATTAAACTATGTGGTCCCTAAGTTTTTATATTTAAATATATTGTGCAATTTTATTAAATTTTGAACACTATTAGGAAAATATAATTTTACTTTGGCACAATTAATAAGTAGTTGAACATAAAATTGCTTTATTTATATAAAAACTTTGATCGTATAATGTTCAAAACATTTTGTTAGTAATGATTAATTAAGAATGATATATAAATCTAAAATGAAAAATAGTATTTATATAGTTTATATTATAAATATTTTATGCTTATAAGCAATTAAGTCATTAATTAACTTTGCTTATATATATAGCTAAATTTATTCTTTAATTATCCTTCCAGTCTTTTTTTATTTCAAATACCCATTCCCATTTTAAATGTTCATTTTTGTCATCATCAGTGAACAATGAATGAACTGTATATGAACCTCGAGCCATCATGCCACTTGGAGCATCTTCAGCTGGTGTGGTATAACTTTGAATTTCTAATTTCGGAGGGTATGATCCAACCATATGTGTCATTTTGTCCACTATACATAAAAAAATCACTTTTAAAATTACGAGTATTTTATGAACTAGAAAAATTTATTTACAAATGGTTCAAATAAAAATTTGTGTTTAACAAGTGAAACAATAACTAAAAATTATTATTTCTAATTCTTATAACTCATCACAATAGTTTGAACTAAACTACAAAATAGGGATAAACAAATTTCTTAATGTAATGTAAGCTAAAGAAACATTGGTAGGAATTCTTCTTATTAAATGTATTATTTATATAAATCCTAGAAAAATTATATAATTATTATATGTTCTAATGTTTAATCAAATAATGTAAATATCAAATAACTTACAAAGTCATAAAAAGTGTAATTGAGGCTCAGGGTAACTTGGAAATTTCACCCTGGATAACTATAATGATCAAATAAAACAGGGATATCAAAAAGATAAAAAATTTATGAATTTACCTAAGACAATAACATACCATGAGTTGGCCCAGAGATTATTAATATTATTTATTAAAAATACACTAGGAGTCTAGAAAGTTTTGTAATAGACATTAGAAGAATATACCTAAATGTATATGTTATATCAAAATATTCTAATTGATTATTTAAATAATGATATAGCTACTGTAAGAATATTTATTACTATGTTCTTACCACTTAAATTATACATGTATTTATATTTACTTAATTTGTAATACATGTTACTTAGCATAATGGGAGATGCTGACGTGACAATTCTACTTGTCTGTCGGCCAGAACTACTGACGTTAAACTAACAAAGGGTGTTGTGTATGAGTGGCTGTTATAGACATAGTTTTTGATACTATTACTTTTACCTTATTTATTTTGCTAATAACTTAACTTATTTCATTCAACGATTCATCTATCTCCAATTGTCATCATAGCCAACCAACTCTGTCTCACTTGGATATACCTACTAACCAACTATACTACAGGATTCAGGTCAGAAGTATTTTACGTTACATATAACGTATATAATATTTACTGAATATTCAAGGTATAACTTTACTTTGTCGTTGATATAAAACAATAGTTTAACTTTATTATATAATCTTTTAATAGTAACTAAGTTACATGATTTCCTGACTTTCATTCAGGTAATTAAAACTGATTTAAGGAGATAGGGACAATATTTGGGCAGACTTTGAATAGCTTCCGATTCTTGGTTTCAACCAAGATCATAAACAGACCCCTAACACTACCTATATATGAGAATTTTGAATTAATCATTATTTTTTTCATTTAGCAGTTTTAATTTATTTGGTTGCTTTTAAAACAATATTTTTACTAGAGTTTTATCAGAAATTAAAAGAAGATAAATTTTTTGAATAATTTTATATCAATTTATACATACATGTAATATATTACTTATGAATATATAAGTATAATTATATTATAATATATTTTAAAAAGTATTGTCAAATTAATATTAAAACTAAATTAAATTAATACATAAAGTTTTACCTGGTACACCTAGACGATAAGTTTTTTGTACATATTTTAAACCATGAACTATTTCACGTTGAACAATGAAATCTATTCTGATTTTATAAGAAATTCCTTCTTTAATAATAAAAACCTATAATAAGCAAAAATTTCAAAGAATAATTTACAGAAAAGTGTGTATCAATATTGATTAATAACTTTAAAATATAAATAAAAAAATATATATATATATGTATAAGGTGTTTGATCATTTGATTTCTATTAAATAATTTTTTTTGGCATATTGAAGTGTTACTTATTTTTTGATTTTTAAGTGGTTAAATACTTTTAATACCCATCCTTTTTTCTTATAGAGGTACCAACTTTGTTTTTTTTAAATAGCAACCTAAATATTTAACTAGTTTATATAATTAAAATAATTCAATTCACAATGACTGTAGTCAATAAAAAATTTTGAATCAATAGTTTGGGAGTTATAAATATGTTTTTACTTAGATAGGAGGAGTAGTGTAGCAGGAAAATATATAATGATAAAAATAACAAAACCCACACCATGCTTCTAGACTATATTTAAAAATGGTTATAACTTCTAAAATACTAACAACTTTATTAGGAATAGACTTAAAAAATATCTAACCATTCAGATATTGAAAAATAAATACTAATAAACAAGAATTCTTAATATTATTCTACTAATAGAGTTGTTCATGATTCACGGATTACTTTATATACATATATGTATTTTTTTTAATGAAAATTACTTGTTTTTTTAAATTAGTTAAATCTCCAGACAAATCTAGCTCCATGTCAGGTCTATCAGCAACACATAAAGCTAATTTTTTAACAATTACTTTATTTGGATTGTTTTCATCTATGAAAAAAAAGATAGAAAACATTAAACAAAAAAAGGTATTTTTATGTATAAAATTTCTTATTTCATGTTTAATATATTAAAAATGTATTGCTTAAGTGAAGTAATACATTTCAATTTCTGATTTATTAAAATATTCATAAATCCTATGACTTAAAAATATACATATGGAAGTTTAAACTATTAACATGTCATAGTCATATGATATTTTCAATCTTGAGAGATAACATTCCAAAACAATATTCATTAATTACCAAAAATTATTTTTCCACTATTAGCATCACCCAAAAGTTTTTCTTTGTACTTTTGTAAACTAGCATCATCTTTGTCAGCATTTAATAACTCTTCAATTGATTTTTCTGGAGGTGGTTTGTAATTGGAATCAATTTCATCATCATCATGAACAGCCAGTTTTTCAATGCTTTCTTTAATCGAATCTCCTTCGGACATAGCTAAATGAGTGCTATAAATTAAAGATTTAAAATATGAGTACGTACGTAAAGTTTTAAAAATTGAAATCTGCGTTACTTACTGTACACAATATTACAGATACAGTTATTGATCAAAATATTCAAGTAATAAGAATTTTAGTTGTTGATTCAAAGAACTAAAAATTTATTGGTGTTAATACTTACAGTGATATTCCGAAAGTCTGGTAGAATCGTTCTCCTATTACAATACACGAAGAATTCACTTATAAGAATGATAAAAGTAATTATGATAATTGATAATAATAGAATTATTTATTTCAGGGACATTGCAAGTAGACACATATGAATAAACGTGTTTTTTTTTATCATATAACTTATACTTAAAAAATGTGACTACTGACGATATGTCAGGTATTTAAAACTGGTATATCTAAATGTTATGTCTTAATAACGTTTAAGAGTAATTACAATTTTTTGTTTTAAATATAATATTCAGTAAAGCATCAATAATTATATTCATCGAAGTCCCAAGCTCAACTTTAACAAATTAAATGTGACCAATAACTATTGTTCTAAGAATTATTTGCATTCATAAAATTTTTTTAGTTAGATACTTAATATGTAATTATATACATATTTATAATATTAGATTAAAAAATGTTGACATAAGCTCATCGTGTTTTTATGTTACTCCGAAGTCTAAAGAAGTTCAAAAATGACTTTAGAAATTATTAAATAAGTATGCTTTGGAATGTATATTAATCATAGTTATTTCAATAAATAATATCTTATAGTACTTGATTAAAAAAAATGGGAAATTTAAAGTGGACTAAATCATCTGTACAAAAACGTCTCCCTAACAAAGTATCTCAATTTTATTATTCTTATGGATTATTTTGTTCTTCTCATCCTATCATTGCATTAGTGTTGTCTACATTCATAGTCATATCATGCAGGTAAATTTATATTTTGATAAATTATTATGACACTAATATAAATTAAATATTAGAATTCAGTAAGATTTCTATGTAGTTAATCATTTTCAGTTTATCCTTGTTTGGTTTGCCACTATTTAGCAATGTAGCTCATTCAATTGTTACACCATCAATCGCACCAGATAATGTTACTAATCGTTGGTTTCATGGACATCCTAGTGTATACATTCAACAGGTAATAATTTTGAATATTTATGCTATGTATTATAAATGTTTATCAGGTAATAGCAAAATGAAACCGAAAAAAAATTTATTTTTTGAGTTGTATTGTTAGATCAAAATATTAAGAAAAATTCAATCATTTTCTTAATTTATATGCATAATAAATATCGTAATAAATTTTAGACATAATTTTAAATTTAAAGTAATAAATGTAAAAGTAACTTGCTCTATGATAAATTATTTGCATTGCACAATAATTTTTATTATCCATAATTTATTTTTATACATTTTTACAAAATAAGTTTTTTAGTTTAAAACATTATTTTTTGTGTACTTTTATTGTAGTCTCAAGCACAAGTTTATTAAAATTTAATAACGAATAAAAAAAATCAGCTATAAATATAAAATTATCTTGGTTAGATCATTTTATAAATATATATATTATATCTATAAAAATTAAATTTTCAGCATTATATTTATTTTACAGATTATTATGAGATCAATGGTAACGCCTTGGACAGAAGATTTAGTTTTATCTGATGCTTTTAGAGGTCCTCTTGCTGAGTCTTTTAAATTAGTTGAAATAATTAGAAATTATCAGTTTGAAAAAAAGTAATTATTTTCTAAAAAAAAAAAAAAAGAAAATGTAAGCAGTTTTTTTTTAATTTTACTTATGATAATTTGTGTTTAGAATTTCTTTGACCGATGTTTGTTTGCATGTAGAAAATATTAACTCTGATGTTAAAATATTACCAGAATATAACTGTTTAATAGTGTCACCATCTAATTTATGGTACCAAGATCCAGAAAAATTTCGTGCTGACAGCAATCTTATAAAAACAATTTTCACTTTTCAGGTACACAAATTAATTAATCATTTTTGAAAATAATCATACTACTTTTAAAATAAATTTGGTTTTATATAAGTGTAATGATAAATATCATAGAATATATGTAATACTTTGCATTATTAACAGAGTTTTTGTGAATTTATCAAATATCAAATAGAGTAATTTAGTAATAAATCAAATTTTAATGTTACTAAAATTGTCATTATGAATGTACATTGATAATAATTTTTAATACTTATTTTTTATATTTCGTAATTATAAATATGATATAATTTGTCAAGAGATATTAAAATGTCTTTGGCCCTAAGCGGGGCAAAATAAAAAAAATTTAACGTTATACTAAATTAAAAAGAAAAGAATGTTAAATACATTTTATTAAAATTAGCCTGACGAAAGATTATATAACTATTTCCAATTAGTATTTTTTAATGTTGTTTTGCATATTTATTAAAAATAGTTTTGATTTTATTAGATATATTTATTTATTTTAGAGACCATCAAATGTAAAAATTAGTATACCAGAGATAATTTTTGGGATGCCTTTAAAAGAAACTGGAATTAAGAGATACTCTGTACATCCTCGTCAAAGAGTTGTTCAATTTGCCATAACAATTTTTATGAAACGTTTTGTTCCACAGTATGTAGTATTTATATTCATTCTTCTTCAATAATATTTAATCAGTTGTGTTTGTTATAGTGGTTTAAGTTGTCAATAGGGTGATTAATTTATCATAAACAATCTTAAATAATCGAAAAATTAAAAATACTAATAATTTTTTTATTAATTTATTTTAATTATATATTTTTCTCAATTTATCAGTCATGAAATATATTTATGTTCATCTTTTATACCATAAAAGGATGTCGACTTAAATTTTTCAAATGAGAATATATATAATAACCTTGCCTATTTATTAGATAATAATGTAATTAAGAAAATGTCTAGTTAATAACAACTTATGGACCAAAATTTCAGAAGTTATTTATATTTTTATACCTATACAGAAGGAGGAATGAGGCAAAAAAAAATGTTTAGTGATAAAAATATCAGCACCCACTACTGACCTCCGTCGTTATTTTAAATTCTTTGTATGATGATTGTTTTAGTCATAAAGTATTTTTTCTTATATATCATTTATTTAATATTACAAAGATGTTAATTTTAATAAATAAAACTGAAATAAGATTTTTAAATTTGTCTGTTAAATGTGGCTATTATAAATCTACATTATATTATTTATTATTTATATATATATTCTGGTATCAATTGTTAAATAAATAATTTCAATTGAGAATTAATAAAAAATTACAAAAAGTTTAATATAAGGGATGTAATAAATATGCTTAAAAATAAAAAATTGTAATTAACTGTGATTTTCCCCATAGAATCATCTTTGTAGGCTGTGTTTAACATTTTCATTGTTTCTGTGCCAGTTTTTGTGGGAAATTTTTGCAGGAATCAAAACACTCAATTTTCAAAAATCAGCTACCACAAAAAATGACGAATACCCAAAACAATTAAAATATTTGTTTTTCTATTTAATGAGTTTTTAACTTTATGGGCTATTTATGTAATTAACAAACATATAACATATACAAACTAATATGTAATTACTGTTTACATTTTTTCAAAAAATTGTGTATTAATATATTTTGAGTACTTGTAGAGAATTTATTTTTGGGATTTGAGTTGCAATCTGTTATTGCTAATTACAGTTGTTTTAAGGTAATATTTGTGACCACCTAATTATTTATAATAATGAAAATTTATTCTATTTCCTTGATATTGATTTTTATTTTTAGTTAACATTTTATTTGTTCTTATATAATTTTCATTTTTTTAATTTGTTTTATCATAATATATTATTTTGAATGTATTTTGGTTTTATTATAAAAAAATAATTTAAAGTCTTATAGTTATCCTAGGATTAATACTGATGATTGTTAGGTATAAAAAGACTCCAAGGAAATATTGTCAACTAGTACCTCTTAGTTTATCTGTAAAATGGAATATTTATTGTTTATTTTTTTATAGGTACATTCAAGGCTTAAAAAATCATCTTAAACAAATATATCCTGTAGATGTCAAGCAATCCCAAACACTTTCAGAGACATCCACTTTTCATATTTACTATCCAGGAGAAGTTAATTATGAAACAATTTTTGTATTGATCACTTGTTATATGCTATTATTTGCATATGTTTATTACTCTATTCAAAAAATGGATGTTTTTGTATCTAAGGTAGAGTTATTTATCATATAAAGGTATTTTTTTATATATACAGGGTGATTTTTTTATCATAATCCACTCAATTACTTATAGAATAATAATAAATTAAACATTTTTTTTTTTTCGATTATCTTTAGTTACACGTCATTCTTGAATTATTAACTATGTAATACTTTTTAAGTTCATCTCTTATGCCTGGTAAGAGTGTCAACTTTGTTTTTTTAAATGGGAACACATATTTTGAATTTAATAAAATGTTTGAGTTTTTAATTTAATAGTAAATGGCATTTGAATTTTTAGTATAACTTTATTTGTTTATTAGATATAAACATTTAAAGTTTCAAATTTTTAAGTTAATATACATGTATAATACACAAGGGATTACAAATACAGGTAGCTAATTGGTTTTTTATGACATTGATATTAGCAGGTACACGGCATTGTTATTATCAATGGTAGTAAGGTACATTGTTGTGAGTTTATAAATACACTGACTGACAATAAAAAAACTATATATATTGATAGTCATAAATGATAATAAACAATCCGTGACTGTGACAGCAATGACATAAAAAACCAATTAGCTACATGTATATTAACTTAAAAATTTGAAACTTTAAATGTTTATATCTAATAAACAAATAAAGTTATACTAAAAATTCAAATGCCATTTACTATTAAATTAAAAACTCAAACATTTTATTAAATTCAAAATATGTGTTCCCATTTAAAATAACAAAGTTGACACTCATAAAAAGTATAAGGGATGAACTTAAAAAGTATTACATAGTTAATAATTCAAAAGTGATGTGTAACTAAAGATAATCGAAAAAAAAAAAATGTTTAATTTATTATTATTCTATAAGTAATTGAGTGGATTATGATAAAAAAATCACCCTGTATATATTTTGGTCCAACCATCCTTTCATAACATATAAAAACAAATAATTTTAACCTTTGTTTATTTATTTTAGTTTTAATGAATAGAATAAAAAATTTGTATAATTTTCATTATTTAAAGAATAATCTTACCTAAATAATTAATTTAAAAATCAATTACTTTGTTTGTATTTAACTACTGAAACATTATGAAAACAAAATGTTTAAAAATAATTGAAAACACTTTAGATAATAAAGAAATTTTGGTTTTACATTCAAATTCTCAAAACTGTTTTTGTATGAATTATAACTTAAAACATTAAATAAAAAGTTAATTAATCCCATATCGAATTTATAACTTTTTAAAAATAATGAAAATGTTTTATAATCATAAATCACCTAAAACTAAAGCTTATTTTCAAAAGGGTTTTAAACTGTTTAAATAATACAATATCATTTTTATTTCAAAATGAATTTATTTAAAAAAATTTTATCAATTCTGTTTAAATATAGTAAAAGATGAAGCTTTCATAGGATGAAATATTGTTAGAAATATTTTCATGTATATCCTTATTTCAAAAATCATATTCAGAGCAATAATTACTGTTCACATTTGAATTTATTCTCTATTTAAAAAATAACTCATGCCATTATCACTCTTCATAAGAACTCTGTATTGATTTTTGAAGTGCCAGTTTAAAACAAATAAAGTGAACTCATCTGCAAATATTGTTTATAAAATACAATATATTTGTATAATTATTGAAAATTAATCATTCAATTAATATATTATGATATTATTTCTTATTATTTATATTATGAAAAAAATGTAAAATTATTGAATTATTGAGTCATTTCATGGGCAATATATTTATTAGGCAAACATTTTATTTGTATAGTATATTAGTATATTAAAGTATATTAGTGTGATATGTGTATATTTTATTTAGGTAGGAATCAGTTGTGGGGCAGTTATTACTGTAGTTTCAACACTTTTGACAACTGTAGGATTGTGTTTCATTTTTGGATTAGATTTTACAATCAGTTTTCAAAGTCAGATGGTAATATTTCAACAAATTTTAAATTAATAGTGTATTATCCTTTAATAATAGTAATAATATTATCAAATTGTATTTTCAGGTATTTCCTTATCTTGTAATTGTAGTTGGTCTTGAAAATATGTTAATAATAATCAAATCTGTTGGTTCAACAGCACCTAATTTAGATGTAAAAATAAGGCTAGCTCAAGGAATCAGTAAAGAAGGATGGGCTATAACACAAAACCTTTTGATTGAAGTGACTATTTTAACAGGTGGCTTGTTAACTTTTGTTCCATCTATACAAGTATGCATTTATAACTATAACATATAATTGTATAACTATATTAATTTATAATTTATTAAATTTTTAGGAATTTTGTATATTTGCTATTGTAGGATTATTATGTGACTACTTTTTTCAAATGGTATTTTTTCTTTCCCTAATATCTTTAAACATTAAATCTGTTGAAGACTCGACTTATCAAAAAACATATTATCCGTTTTCATTTGCAAATTTTGCTAATAAAATGCATAAATCTAATCCTCCAGCCTTAAAGCATACCAGTCGAAGTGGAGTAATGTTGAAATCAGCATCACATCCGCGGTTAAATGGTTTACAAATTATGGCATCATTGGAAGATCCACACCGTAAGCCACTGTCAAAACGTTTAAGACTTCTTTATTTTTGGGCTTCTATAAGAATTGTCCAACGTGTTCTAATGTTAATTATGATAATTTGGATATCTGGAATAATTTACAACACAATAACAATTCAAGAGTTTTTTGATTTAAGAAAATCGACCTCTTCTGATTTACCTAAATCTGAGCACAAGTCTGATATTCATTTCCCTCTTGCTTGGGAAGAAGGTAGAAGAGCAGTTATTATAGAAAATAAAGCAAGGGTTGCAGACAAAAAAGAAAATGACATAGTTAAAGAGGTAATTTTTTAAATCATAAGATAAGCCAACTTTTACGACTATGTTGTAACAATTATTTCCTTCATAAAGTCAAAATATTTTTTTTGCCAATATTTAGTTTTGAGAATAATTAAAACAACTTAGAGAACATATTTTATTTCAATATTATGAAATGTTATATAGTGTTTTTGAAATCTACATAATTGTGTATGAAGTGATACTTTAAAAGATACACTAATGACAAATTTTTCAGTTATTTATCCTTAGTCCAAAATTATGGTTATTTGGAGTTTTTACCTTAAGGTTTCATAAAAAAACAAAAGTTAGTCCCGTCATAATATTTTCGACAAAATTTGTATAATTATGAAATATGTAAGATTTTCCAAATATATGTAGTGAAATTTAAAAAATACTACTAAAATTGTAAGCATCTTCTAAAATTTATAATTTTTCTAATTTATTTTGTTAAATATACAGAAAAATATAAAAAGAACTTTACTATAAGATTTTACAACTACAAAAGTAAAATTTCCATACAAATTTAGTCATGACCAAGGAAAGTTCAGTTATTTCTTTTTTCCTGAAACTGGAAAAAAACAGAGAAAAGTGAAAAAAACTTATGTAGCCTAATTTTGATTCAGTGTCAAATCCCATATAAAATTCGTCTAAATAAAATAGACAACAAAAAATGTTCATTATTATCCTATATTATCAATTATCATATTATAGGGTTTATAGTATAAATGTGAATTGACCACAAATATCTTTTACTTTTTTTTTCTATTATAAAATATCTTTTACTTATAGTAAATGGTTTGATTTTAATTTTTCACCCTAATGTTTTTTTTTCTGTTTTTTTGTAGTTATTAATATGTAATGTAATGTAATATAAATTTACTGTGTTTTTCCTATTACTATTTATATAATTGTTATTTTTTTTTATTATTGCTTTATCAGCCCATTTAGGGCCATAGCAGCCTCTCCCAAAGAAGGGGTTTCTTAACCATTTATACTCCAGGACGGGTGATAATTGTTATTAGTGTTATTTTATTATATTAAAATTATCTTTTAATTATTAGGTGAATTATACAAAAGAAAATGATTTTCCGTATCACATACAATCTTTAAATGTAGAAAAATGGCCATGCTGGCCAAGACTTTCATGGTATAATTGGCCATTTTTATTGGGCTTATATAACATAAGTATTGCAGGAACTTATATATCTATACCACAACCAATACTTTTGGCTCACCCTGTAACACCAAAAGAAGCAATGAAATTACGAGAACCACTCTATGAGACTGATAAATCATTTCCATCTCATTGGAAGTCATTAGCTGCTGCTCTTGATCCTTTTGATTTTGTTGGTAAGTCTAAAATCAAACTATAAATTTATCACTAAATATTAGCAGTGTAATAATAAAATAATAATTAAAAATAAAAAATACTTCCAAAATTAAATTTATTACTGGAAATTGATTTATTGAACACACTTTACTAATAATTTTTTTATCAGATGTTTCATTATATTTTTAGAAAAAATGTTAATGATTTAAGTGATGATGAAGATGGCATATATTTACTTGAAGATACTTCAAATGAATTTTTTACTGAATTTATTAAATTTATTACTGGAAATAAAATGTTTTTTTTATGCTGAAACTAAGTTTAAAAACCTGTTTAATTAAAAATATTTCTTCTTCTTTTTCCTCGCCTTAATCCCAAGTAGATGGAATTAAGGCGAATATAAAGGAACTACATCTATACACACATCAGCCGTCCTCATATCGCATTCAATTACATCCCTCAATCTCTTTTTTAGTCTTCCTCTACCTCTTCTTCCTTTAACATTCATTTTTATTACTGTTCTTACTTCTTCGATTCCTCTCTCCTTATAACATGACCAAACCATCTAAGTCTATTTTCTCTCATCTTATCTACGATTGGCGTTACATCTATACTCCCTCTTATACGTTTGTTCCTTATCCTATCTTCTCTAGGCATTCCACTAATTCATCTAAGCATTCTCATCTCTGCTACATTCAATCTAATTTAGCTTTTAGCCTCGTTTAAATTCTTTTATTGCATAAAAAACCAGATGCTTCTCTCCACTTCAACAACCCGCATTTTCATGTGTCTTACATCCTCATCAATACCACTGTTCTTTTGCACAACTGATCCTAAATACTTAATACTTTCCACCTCCCCTATCACGCCCTCGCCTATTGTCATTGATCTCCTCATTTCACCTACCTCATGTTCTCCTTTGACAAACTCATACTCTATATACTCTGGGTTACTCCTACTTATTCTTAAATCCTTTCCTTCAAGAGCTGATCTTCACACCTCTAGCCTTTGATTAATTTTCTCCTATTAACACTATATTGTCAGCGAACAACATGTACCACGGCACCTCTCCTTATATTTCTCTAGTATGTTTAATTAAAAATGTTTATAATTTAAATTAAATATTTTAATAACAAAACTAAAAATTAAATAAGTTGAAAAAAAATATTAAAAATTAAATTAATTTAATATAGTGTTCTTTATTTTTAATTGAACCACTTGTTTAAAGATTAATTGTATTATAAAATTAAATTTTCATAGAACAATTTATGTATTATTATTTTTCAGATACCCATATAGTTGGTCCTTTGGAGAGTAGGAAAGATATAAATATTGATAAGTCATCCGAACCATTTATACCTACATCACCATCTGAACTTATGTTAATTACAGTTTTATGCTTAATAAGCATATTGGTATTAGTCTATACATTAGTAATGCTTTATCGATGTGTCTGTAGTCGAAATTATGCTGAGTGGAGAGCAGGATGGAGTCATGATCTAAATTATGTTCAGCATGATTCTGGTATACAGGTATTTTAAGATTTTATTTACTTAAAAAAAGGTATGTCTTAATATTTATTAAATTGATTATTCTTTTTTAACATAGGTTATCTTAGAAGCTGTACCTATTGAATTTAAAGGTCATATACAATCAGTAGAATGTATTGCTACATATGGAAACATTATTGTTAGTACATGTCTTGGTGGCTGTGTTAATGTATGGAATGCATTAACTGGAGAATTAATTTCTTCTATTGATCGGTAAATAAATAAAATATTTTTATTTTATAAAATTCAAATCTAATTATGTGTAATTATAAAGAAATACAAGTTAATCTCAATAGTCTGATATACACTGTTATACAATCTTATCTATAGTTACTCTAACTGAAAATAAATTGAAATCTAATATTTTTTTATTTTGATTAAAATAATCTTTATTTTATTAAACATTTTACATATAATTTTTGGAATACGATACTTTTGATAGTCCTACGTCCCTTTACTTTGATATACTTCCAAATTATCGACATTTCTCTATATATTATACATAGTATTCAAAAATAAAAACCAGGTCTGTTATGAATAGAAGAAATAATAAAAATCTTTTCCTGATTTATTGAACACACTTTACTAATAATTTTTTTATCAGATGTTTCATTAAATTTTTAGAAAAAATGTTAATGATTTAAGTGATGATGATGAAGATGACATATATTTACTTGAAGACACTTCAAATGAATTTTTTGATGAATCATTAAGTTCTGTTAGTAATATTCAGTTATCAGAGTCTCCGAAAAATACTGATCAGTAATATCTGTAACTTATCAATAATTATATTTTGTAATTAAGAAAAAATAAAATTATTGCTTAGATTATGTTCAAGATGTAAAAATGTTATTCTGAGAGAAGAAAATTATAATGACTTAATAAATTTTGATGCAAAAATATCTAACAATATTCTAAGTAACAAAAAAATTGAATGGGATGTAAAATCAAAAAATGATTCTGAAAAAGATATGATTGACTCACAAATATGGTGTGTAGATTGTAATGAGATTGTGGTTGTCTTAGGGTGTGCAGATGGCTCTCTTCAATTTTGGGATTTATATAATGGATTACTTAAAGTAAGTTAATTTTATTAATTAATAAGGTGTACATTGATAGTAAACTTCTAAAATAACTATAAGGTTTTATTTTTAATTAGATTATTGATTGGATTGGTATCAATTTATAGGCAATTTCAATATTGTTTAACTTTAAATTTTTTATGACAATATCAAACTGATATTTAATTTTTAATATAATAAAAATCATTATGAACTTATAAATGAAATTGAACTGTAATTTTTAAAACTTTTGCTGTTAAAGTTCAATTTTTGAAGTTTCATTCAAGTTAATTTAATATTGAATGTTTATTTTATTCTCACCTAATCTCTTTGTTTATTATAACAATTTTTACATTTTATTTTTAAAGAACAGTTATTTTAAATAATTCTAAAATCAATGAAAATTTATTGATTTCATGTGTGATTTAAAACAGTTAAAGAAATAATTTATCTATATTATAGACATCAAATAAAGTTATTAATTTTATAATATATACTGAGTAATTAATCAATTTAAAAGTGTATTTTGTCTGGCTATTGCAAAATTTCTAATTAATAGTGTAATTTTATTTTTATAAAACAAATCAATATATTTTGTTAAATTTTAGTGTAAATGGCTAAGTGAAACAAAAGATGGATTTACTGCTATTAAATTAATTAATAAATTTGTTGTTGGCGTAAAACTCAGTGGATCTCTAGATTATTTCAAACTTGATATATTCTGTGAATCTACTTTAGTAGAAACATCTACAAAGTTAATAAATACATCTTTTCATAGAAGTAAGTAAATTATTTGTTTAATCATTATAAAAAAAACATTTTTTTATCAAACTATAACATGTACAACTATATCATTGGTTAATATGAATAATTTTATTAAATACTTATTTATAAATAAATAAAATTATATAATTTATTAATAAATTATTAAAATAACATAATACGTGTGTATTATATAAAAAAAAAGGCTTAAGCAACTTTTTGTTAATTTTTAAAGGACACAAAAAAAATAAATATATTTTCTCATTATTGTATCTAACTAATTAAATTCATTGCTAAACTACATACAAAATATATCAATCCAGCATACAATTTTTACTTAACAATATTTAATTTAAACATTTATTTGTACTTATTTTTTTAAAATATGTTGATATGTCTATCCTATGGATAGTTCAAATATTAATTAGTTTTCATAATCAACTCGTATAATATGAAAAAAAAAATTAATACTATTTTTAGATTTATAAATTTTTAAATTATGTGATTTATTGTGAATAACTGAAATCTTTTATAGAGCATATAAGAACTGGAAGCATAGGATCAGCTCTGAAAATAACTAACTCATCAAATGATGTTGTACGTTGTCTTCATTTAGAGTCTATAAAAGCTCACAACCAACCAATTACAGTTTTAGAAACTAATGGAGATTATATTGTCACTGGTAGTCAAGATCATATGTTAAAGGTAAAAAGTTAGGTTCAATTATAGAATGTTAAGGAATATAGTTTTAGTTAGTTATACTAAACTCTAGCTCTTTCACGGGCATTAAATATTCAATGAATATTAATTAAAAAAATAAATAAAAATTATTTTAAAACAAATGTTGTTAAATGAAATAATCTGCAGAGTCTTTTATTATATTTCAATATTTGGATACTTTAAAAAAAAAAAAAAATTTTCGAAAATTTTGAATGCATTTTATACAAAAAAATTTTTTTATGAAAAAGTCCAACAATATTGGTTTTTTGATAAAAATATTACATCATCCATTTTTTTGCAAGGGGTAATTTTAAATAAAAATAATTTTATATCTTTATAAATAAGTCCTCTCATTTAGTTAACAAAATTTTTCTATTATAGAGGACAGGAAAATCTATTACATATAAATACAATACATTTCATTGGTACAGAATTTTGATATCTGAGACATTTCCAACTGAACTATATAAGTTGCCGAAGTCTAACAATGTATAGTGTTTTGAGAAGTTATCATGTGTTTTTGTATTTAGGGTTAATTTTTGTAGGTTTTGCAATACATATAGTGTAATGACTTAAGTCCCATAAGAGGAAAAGCACTAAAATTTTTACCAATTAATCTTGGGTACTTAAACCAAAATGTGTAGTATAAACAAACATATAGTATATTAATTTAAGGGAGAGAAGAAGATAGAATAAGATTAAACTTGAAAGAAATTAGTCAGACTTTAATAAGCAAACTAATAATCATCACGAAATCTGAAATTTAAAGTTATATAACAGAATTTAAAAAAATATGAATTTACAGTAATTTATCTATACTAAACTTCATGTTAATTTTAATTTAGTATATTTTGTTTTATAGATTTTTAGGATTGAAGATCGTCAATTGTTGTATACATTACATGGTCACTATGGACCTATAACTTGTCTATTTATTGATCAAGTAAATCCACACATGGCAGCTTCTGGTAGTCAAGATGGAATGATGTGTGTTTGGGATTTAGTTACAGGTTATACTTAGTATATATTTATTCATATGGAGTAATTTGCTAATTATATCTTACATAATATCTTCAAAATTATAGGATAAAATATAAATTTTTTTTTTCAAAAGTTATTAGTATTCTACACTTAAATTAACACAAAAAATATAATTTTATCCCTCTTTAAATTTCATTGTTATAGTTTTTTAAATGAAAACATACTTAACTGGTGTACAAATGAGAAAATGACTGATAGATAACAACTTTTCAACCAGTATTTTAGAAGATTAAGTATTGAAGATGCAACGCAAGTCTGTTTATTTTTATTTCTAATAATTAATGAACTACACTATTCCTGGTACCCTTGTTTAAAAATGCTAATAACTTTCAAAATACTACTTAGAAGTTGTTTTTGATAGGTCATTTTTTGAAATTATTTCCTTAATTGTAACTAACATGTATGTTTCCATTAAAAAAATATTAATACAATTTTAAGGCGAGAGAGCTATATTTTAGCTTTGATGCGAAGTTTAGAAGGTATTAATTTTACTATATTGTTTTTTTTTTTTTGTGTCTGTTACCACTTTTTTTCAGCTCTCACTGAACCGATTTCTTTCAACGATACGTCAAAAGATCACAAATCGTATCTAGTTGAAGACATTACCCTAAAAAGTTGAAAAAATTCCAATAGTTCCCCGTAAAAGGGGAAAATCTCCAAAAAAAATTACAAATTTAAAGATCGCTAATTTTCAAAAAAAAATTTTTCTTAAAATTGCCATAACTTTTTTAAAAATGACCAAATCAATATAATTTTTTTTTTTATAGATGAATGATGTCTTTATCTATCATTTGGTATATTTTTGTTATAAATCTGACCCTTTACCTGCCCACAGTGGGGTATTCAAAATGACAACTTTTTCAAATTAACTTTTGAAAGTGTTACGGAAATACTGACACTTTTATATATACCTTAAATTAAAGCTTATATAATATAATTTATTATGGAAAAAAAAATTTCGGATTTTATTTTGTCTTCACGGTAAAAATAGTTACCAAATGCTATAAAATTCTTGATTTTATATTTAACATTTTTAACTTTATAATGTTATAACTTATTGAAAAGTGTATGGTTTATCATTACAATTTTTTTATGAGAAATAATATTTATATTAATAATAATAATTAATTTAATAAAATAATAATAATAATAAATAAAAATTTATAATAATAATATCCCTTTTTCATTCGACATACTTTTTTTTAAAATAACACCATTTCCCTTCATATATTTGACTTATTAATCATAAAACTTGTAATCAGGATATAAATAATAAAATAAGAGATCATGTAGCTTTTGAAATAATCCAAAATTTTTTTAAAATTAAACACTATCTACAGATTTGCATCAAAGTGTTTTTTATGATAGTGATTTTAATCACTGTCAGATATCATTATACCTTACCCAACCATGCCACATCCCCACTGTGCTGGTTTTTTTCTTTTGATTTAAGTGTGTAGGAGATTCATAACTTCTGTAAAAAAAAAAAATTATTTTTGATATCTTAAGATATTACATGAGACATAGCGGATTACTCTGTATTTGAATTCATGCTATTAATTTAAATTTATTTAAAATTTTATTTGTTTTTAGGAACTTGTATGTATACAGTGAAAAGTCATGATGGAGCAGTTTTAGGTTTAACTTGTTCTGCCAGCTATGTACTAAGTATTGGACAAGATGATCGTATTTGTGTTTGGGATCGATTTCAAGGTCATCAACTCAACAGTATTCAAATTGTAATAAAAAAATAAAATATTTTTTCTTTTTCTTATTATTAATTTTTGCTTATAGAATAATGTTTATTGTTATAACTTGGCTATGCTAACCCACAATTTGCTCATTACTTCTAAGCAGGTAAAAATAATTTTAATTATATATAAGTAAATGAAAAAACTGTATGATGATGCTTTTCGCCTGAACTTTATTAAGTAAATAATATAATTGTAGGGCTGTATAGTAATAATGGACGTTCAAACTGGTGAACCTATCAAAATATTTAACTTAGGTGATTCAGATTGCAATGTTGTTACGCAAATGATGACGTTATCTGACAGCATTGTTTGTGATTACGGAACTGAGCTACGTGTTGTACGTTTCCCTATGATTGCTACTAAGGAAGATTAATAGCTTATTGTTAAAAAATTATAAATATATATATATTTTTATTATTAGATTGATCTCAAACTATATTAACAAATTAATTTTTATTGTTAATTGAGTATTTTTTTAAATAAAATACAAAAAAAATTACATGTGATTTTTTAAAATAATATAAAATTTCTTACTACCTTTATTCCTAAAACAAAAATAATCAAAATATAATTTATTTAAAAAAATATTAACAGCTATTCAGTTAACTCCTCCATGTTAACCCATTCAGTTATTAAAATTGTATTTTTTCTAAATATAAGTAACAATATTGTGTTGAGTTTAGACCCGTAATTCTCAAGGTTACATTTTATATTTATTAAATTAAGTACCTATATTATTATTATAACGTATATTGTATATTAGGTCAATGAAATCTAGGCAATTTTATTTATTGTAATAGTTTGATAAAATAAAATAATATACAAAAATCATTAACTTATTCAATATTAAGTTAACCCTTTCAAACCCGAGGTAAACTGTAATGTATCTTTCGTCTCTGAAATTGATTTTTAATCTTAGCTAGGATCATCCATCAATTAAAATTTTATTTTTTTAAATGGCATAGATGTTAAATATAGCATTATAAAAAACAAATCATTATTTTAATCATCATTGGAGAATTTTATCATTCGAAAACTCAGCTGTACTATAAAACAGTGTTGCCACTTTTCAAATCATATATTACAATTAAATTAATCAAAATTTCAAAGAGATTTTAGACAATTGGTTCATACAAAGTAAGTGACGTCACCGGGGTCAGGAAACAACTGATTGGCAATTGTTACTTGCTAAGCAAAATAATAAATGGGTACATTATATAATAAAATTGTGTTAAATAGTCATTAAAGGCAGAAAAGTTTCAGATTATAAAAACTACTCACACATTTTAAATATACATATACTATGTATAGCCTTACAAATGTACATATACGTTTATATATGTATAATATGTTAAAACATATAGTCACATAGATAAAATAGTAAAATTTGTTTGATAAAAGAATCTCAGCACCCATCTGAACAAGATTGAAGTCATCTCACCAAAAAGGCATCCACAGATCAAGACAGTAAAGAACAAAATTATAGTAAAATTTAAAAATTCAATAGGTACATACTCTAATATTTACAAAACTTATCAAGCAGACCATTGATCATTGGCCACATCGTTATGGATTCAGATGAAGATGCATTAAATGACATAGATTCTGGCAATGAGTCTAGTGGAGACGATGTGGACTTTGCTATGGAAGTAGATGTACGGCATGAACGAGAAAAAAATCAAGATGTTGATGATTTTCCATTTGAAGTATTATCTACAGACAATATTGTTCAACATATGATTGACTGTATCAAAGAAGTCAATACTGTGCTGCAAGTAAGAGATTATTTTCTGTGTGAAAAATACACTGATAATATTTTATCATTCTATTGCTTATAATTCTTAATAATTGAATAACCAATGTTAAAATTTTATTTGGTTATTTTTAGATGCCAGCAACAACTACACGCATCTTATTAAATCATTTTAAATGGGATAAAGAAAAATTAATGGAGCGCTTTTATGATGGGGATCAAGATAAATTATTTTCTGAAGCTAGAGTAATAAATCCTTTTAAAAGAACCCAACCAATTATTCAGAGGGTAAAAGTTAAATAATTTAAAAATATCTTTCACAGTTAACTTATCAACTTATCAAGCATTTGATTGAACTTTTTTTTTTAAATTTTAGCCTTCATCAACGCGAAGAGGTACTTCTGGCATGGAAGATTGTGCAATATGTTTTGCAAAACTACCATCAAATGTAAATAATGTGTATTTTTAATACAATTTTTCATTGTATAGTATTTACAAAAATATAGTTGATTCTTATTTAAAATGTTAAATTTTAAAAGTATATGTTCATTAAACAAATAAGGTTAAAAAGAAATTACAGAAATAATACTGTAATGTTTCTAGATGATGACTGGTTTAGAATGTAATCATAGATTCTGCACACAATGTTGGACAGAATATTTAACTACAAAAATTATTGAAGAAGGTGTTGGTCAAACAATTGCTTGTGCTGCAAGTGGTTGTGATATATTAGTAGATGATGTTACTGTAATGCGATTAGTTAGAGATCCAAAAGTCCGGATGAAATACCAACATTTAATTACTAATAGTTTTGTCGAAGTAAACTTACATTAATTATTTATATGTGTATGAATATTCTTGCATACAGCCGACTTAAAAATTTTCAGTGTAACCGATTGCTACGTTGGTGTCCATCACCCGATTGCAACAATGTCATTAAAGCACAGTATATTGACTCAAAGCCAGTAATTTGTAGATGTCTACATGTTTTTTGTTTTGTGTGTGGAGAAAATTGGCATGATCCAGTTAAATGTAATTTATTACGAAAATGGATTAAAAAATGTGATGATGATTCTGAAACTTCTAATTGGATAGCCGCTAATACTAAAGTAAAATATAATTAGCTGATAATTTTTATATAATGTTTTTAGATTTGTTTTTTATACATTAAAATAAAATTTTCATCATTAATGTTTAAATTCAAATATTTTATTATATTCATTTTTTTGAAGGTTATAATTATTTATGAAAATTTCATTATAAGAAATTTCATATATTCTCTTTACTTTCATACAGTGAAAAATTAAAGAAAAAAAAACCAGTCACAAAATTAACTGTGTTATCAAAGATAATTTATTAAATATTATATTTATATTTATATATAAATAATAGCCGCTGTATTATAATACGGTGTCTATTAATTTGTTTTAAAACATATTTATAGTTATTAATAAACTAGTTGTTTTATAGCTCCTAAATTTTTCAGGAATGTCCCAAGTGTAATGTTACTATAGAAAAAGATGGTGGATGTAATCATATGGTTTGCAAAAATCAAAATTGCAAAACTGATTTTTGTTGGGTATGCCTTGGCCCATGGGAACCTCATGGATCATCATGGTAAATTAGTTCAAAATTATTATTTAATTTGACAGTACTATATAAATGGTTAAACACAGGTATAATTGCAATCGTTATGATGAGGAAGAAGCTAAAGCTGCTAGAGATGCCCAAGAAAGATCTAGAGCTGCATTACAAAGGTATTTATTTTATTGTAATCGCTACATGAATCATATGCAATCACTGAAATTTGAACACAAGTTATATGCCAGTGTTAAAGAAAAAATGGAAGAAATGCAACAACATAATATGTCTTGGATTGAGGTAAATCTTACTAAATATTTTTTTAGTTTTCAAAAGAAAAGAGTTGATTCAACTTTGTAAAGTATTTAAAAATCACAATTTCTATATTTTTTGTTTTCCATGATTTTAAATTTTAAACATTATTTAATTTTATGTTATATTATCATTTACAATACACACTGATAGATAATACTGCAGTATTTAACACTTTGTTTTGGTTGCATATCATAGTTTGCTTTTTGAATTAAGATGTGTTAAGATATAAACGTAAAAAAAAATCTTATTTTATCATAGAAATAGTAGGGAAGTATAATTCTAAAATATTGAAATATTTAGATTATAGTCTTAATCGTTCATACAAGTATGAATTTTGCTGTTCACTACTAAACATTTTTAATTTAAAAAATTTTAATAAAAAGTCATAAAAAAATTTACTTAGATTCTAATTAAGCTAGTTGACACTTAAGGGTATAATTTATTACAATTTTTTTTACAATGTTATCGTTAGTGTTAACTGTCAGCTAAATTATTTCAAATGTAACAAACATTTTTATTGGCTTATAAGCAATCAATGGCTATTATTCAGCTGATAATGAATTTGAATTTTATAATTTAGTCAGTTGTCAATTTTGTTATATTAATATCTTATATGATTTGTCAAGTATAAATTGATATATAATTATTTAAAACGGAGAAAAGATGAAGGTATCTTAATTTCTCAAAGAAAGAGTTTTTTAGTGAAATATCATAGAAAGTAGCATATAAATTATTTGTTATATAACATAATATTAATGTTTATTAACAGATTTCTTTATTTATTAATACATTGGTTTTTATTATATATAAATATAATAATACATAAAAAACTTACGTAAAATCATTTTACAACAACAATTCAAAATATTCAATATAACCAGGAACAGATTCAATAATTGATAATTATTAATATAATTTTGCTTACACATAAATAATATAAACTAAAACTATGATACACAAAAACAAAATTATTAAGACTAGGTATATTCTAAAAATGACTTAGGTTACCTAATCAAATTATATTTTTTGTTCATAGTGTCTATCTTATCTTATATATCAACCCAACCTATAGAAATACAATAAATGCTTAAATAGTTACCAACGTTCAGTAATACTTTATAAAACAATATTTGCTTTTGAATTCTTTACTTTGGGTAGAACAATAACAAAAATTAATCACTTGTGTCAAATTATTTAAAACAAAAAAATATTACTAAAAAATCGTGAACAATTTTACCAATATCAACGCTAAACACATAATCATATAAAATATTTATAAAAATAGTGGTAAAATTATGACTTTTTAGGAAGTTGAACCAAAAAAAAAGGAAAACTCAAGCTATTAAATTTCATATCAACTAAATAGAAGACCAACAATTGTATACAATTTTGTTGAACTTAACTTAAAATAAAAGTTTAATTTTTGAATTTTTCTTTACAAAAATCAAATTTTATACTTAAAGAACATGGCCTATGATATCCAAAAAAAAAAAATTCTCATTGAAATCCGAGTCTTATTTATCAGTGTCTATTGTTAATTTGATATAATTTTATTTTTTCATTGTTTATTTTGTTAATTTTTAACAAATGACCAATAATAATAATAATAATAAAACCATTTCTAAGTTTTAGTTAAGCTATTTAAAAAGTTTCTTTGTCTTAAATAATTTAAATGAATAAATATTATTTTAAAAATGAATATATACAACCATGTATAATATTTAAATATGAAAAATATTGGTGAAAATATTTACTGAAACTTTGTAAATACTATTATTAACAAATTTCAGTTATTGTTAATTATCATACTTAAAACTACCATTAATTTCCGTCAAATTGAAATATCTGTATTTATTAGTATATCTAAAATACTGCTATCCCTAACGTATTCAAAAGCCACCTCTAAGTTTAGTTTAGTTAGTTAGTAGTGATTAATTGGAAAAAAAGAAATTAAAAAAAATTATAAAATTTTTAATATTTATATCTTTGTATATTACTTTTATAAAGTATTATAAACTATATATATATAGTTTATAATATTATTAGTCTGTAATTATACAGGGTGATAGGTTTATCATAAACCACTCGAATACTCTCAAAATAAATACAACATTAGAAAATAAATATTATTAATCATTTTATCTTTTCCAGGTACAATTCTTAAAAAAAGCTGTAGATATTCTATGCCAATGTAGGCAAACACTTATGTACACTTATGTATTTGCCTATTATCTGAAAAAAAATAACCAATCCGTTCTCTTTGAAGTAATTTATTATTTGATTAATGTTAAATTGATAATGGAATTTAAATTTATAATTGTAGGATAACCAACGAGATTTAGAAAGTGCTACTGAAACACTTTCAGAATATTTAGAAAGAGATATTACATCTGAGAATCTAGCTGATATCAAACAGAAAGTTCAAGATAAATATCGGTAAAATATAATTTTTTTTTTTTATAGTATACATTTAATATTATTAAATATATAATTGTCTTTTTATTTGTAGTTACTGTGAAAGTCGAAGAAAAGTATTGCTAGAACATGTTCATGAAGGATATGAGAAAGATTGGTGGGATTACACAGAAAAATTGTGAACTAGTCACATATATCTGTGATATATGTATGTATGTATGTTGATACATATATATATATATATATATATATACAGATATTTTTTTAACTCATAAAAATTTTAAATACAATAAATTTACATTCACAAATGATTTAAAAATATATTTTAACCTCTGTAAAATCAACTTAAATAAATGTATTATAAGTTTTAAATAATAGATTCCAAAAGCAGCTGAACAACTGTAGCTTTATTTTCTAGGTAATTGTTAGAAATAAATTTTATTTTTATTTTTAATCAAAGGCTGGCTTCATCTTAATTCTATAACATCTATAATTTATAATTTTGTTTAAATGTTGGACTTATGTACTTTCCTCTTTAATTTGAATTGAGGAACATATGTAAATTTATTATTTTTTCCTAATAATTTAAATTAGTTATAAATATTTAATGAAATAATTCATATTACAATACATATCCCTTTATTTTTTATTAAAAAATAAATCACATGTTATATGTTTTTCTATTAATTGATGAAATAATTTTTAAGTTTTTTTCATTTAATTAATTCTAAAATAAAGAGTACTCATAAAAAAGTTTAAATTTTAAAATGTTTATATAATCTTGAAATTAAATATACAGGGTTTTTTTTTTTTATCTAATTAGCTTTATCATATAGTTGATTAAATTCCAGTTCTAATTATACTAAAAAAACTACCAATGGATTTATTTTTGAGTTTGGTGAAATTAATAGAATTTTTAATTTTTGAACTTAGATTAATGAAACTATATGATAAAAATGTTCTATAAAAGGAAAATAATGACATTTCATAAAATAAATTGCAAATCTATTATAAATTTTACAAAACAATGACATTTTATTTGGAATTAATATGGTAAGCTATTTTTTAATTACATCTATTATTGTTTTTATGCTGACCAGGAAATGAATTATAAGTTAAAGTAAAAATGAGTACCATCATTAAAAATTATGTTTGAAACTAACTCAGATATGTAACATTAAAAGTATGACATTAGTCAAATCTGTCACATTTTTTGAGACTAAATAACTTGATGTCAATTCCATGGTGGTATATGCATGCATTGATTATATGAATTATTAAATACTTAAATTATTATATTTATCCTTTCTTTCATTAATACAAATATTATACAGATACTTTGTTTATTTATAGATAAGTTATATTTATGAAGAGTGATATATTATAGGAAATTGCAAATTCAGTAGTATCAGGAATACAAAATATATATTTTATTGAGATATAGGTTATTATATTTGATTAAAAGACTCCTGAAACAAATTTAAAATGGTTTATATGTTCATTTATTAATAGTTAGAATGAATGTATAACCAACAGCTGCATTATTTTATTTAAGAGGAAAAGGTTTGTGTGTGATTAGTCCAATGATGGACGGGATAAGTGTTATGGTTGGCTTGCACTAGAGACCAGATACCATTGATGAGAAAATTACAAGAAAAATCTTATTGGCACCCCGAGGTTCAAACCTGGGGCCTTGTGAGCCAAAATATATACGTTTCAACTCACTAGGACAGGCTGACACTTAAGTGCAATTACATTTTTTGTATATACATATTTTTTAATATATTCAAACTGTAAATTTTGTCAATAATTGGTAAATTATAAGTTAATTAAATATAACAGTTTTAATAGGATTTTTTAATAATTTACTTTAAAATTAAAGAAATTACTATTTTCATAAATAATTTAATTACAATATAATTGATTAATTACTATCTATGTTGAGTATTTATTAATTGAAGTTTGATATATTTATTTGGTTATATTAAAAATAAAACCAAATAAATAATTTGCTCGTCATGGTTCTTAGTAAATAATTATTAACTTTATCAATTATTTTTTTACTATACTGTTTATTAAATAAAATTAATTGATTGGTTAAGTACGAAAATTAATTAAAGATAACATACACAGCGATTAAATTAATTTTCTTTAATAGTTGGACAGTAAAATACCAGAAAAGATTTTAATAGAAGAATCATACTTTTAATAATGCATGATACATTAAACTTTTTTACAACTTATAAATTTTTTTTAATAATTCCTACATGTTTGTGTAATTATATGTAATGGAAAAAACACCGTAATGAATGTTTCAGCAAAAATCCCAAAAAAATACTAGGTTTAAAATGAAAAAATGTTTCATGTAAAAAGAATTATGCTGCTGTCAAAAAATATGTATTTTAATTAATATTACAAATCACACAATTTTACTTAAGTGTTTTAAATATAATACCATAATAATGTGAGTTATTAAATGAAAAAAAAAATATATATATATTATAATATGTTTCTATTGAAATATAAATCATACATCCTTTGTTTTGTTAAAGTCAAATCTCTATTAGAAAGGTTCCCATTTTCATTGTTCATAAACTGAAACAATACAAATTTAAAAATGTTAGCACATTAAAATATAAATAATGCAAGAAATGAAATCAATCAGTCCATTTCATCTAGGCAGATTTTCACTGCCTGCCCACGCCCCTGCCAAGATGAAATAGATATTCATAATTGCCGCACAAAAAAAAAACCTTTTAAAAGCTTTCACAAAAATTGTTCATTATATAAATGATTTGTAGTTAAATCTCATTTATGAAAAAAATCGTATATATATATATATGTATATATACTAGAATTTTCAACATGTTTAACATGCTAAACAAAAGTAAAAGCGATTCGAAATTTTTGAGTGAAAACAGAAAAACATATTGTAGGACACATACCTACGGTTGGATATAGTGTTGGGCCGATGTTGATCTGCCAATAGGATAAGATACCAAAGGCTGCGAGTTAGTTGGCTGCGGCAGGGGCGGCGGGCCTGATCCAGATACAACGGGGGGTATCTGAATCGGAGCCATGGAGACGGTAGCTATCGACACGGGTGTTCCGGCCGCAGCTACCGCCGCCAAGCTGACTGGGACTGTGGTCACAGTCCGTATAGCGCTCACCATTTGCTGGGTGCTGCGCAGGGGCGCTTGTTCATTTATGCGCAGCTGTGCATTTTGTTCCAACAGAAATTCATTAGTTGCCTGCAGTTCCTCATTACGCTTTTTCAACTCAGATACGCGCTTGCGCAACATTTCCACTTCCTCTTGCAACAACCAATATGGTTGTTGTTGAGTAGACCCAGGTGCAGAAGAAAAATCCATATCCCGATTGGGAAATGGGCGCCCTAGCGGCATTCTGTTGTCATAATCATATCGCCTGCGCTTAGGATCGGGTTCTTCATCAAAATCATAACGCCTGCGGAACAACTCATTACCAAAGTTAGGAGGCATTGCAGGCTGTGGTGCATTGTAAGGACCATTAGGACCTCTCATAGGTAGGTCGTGTGGTTGATCTACATGACGAAATTTACAATGCGCTTGGCTGCGATGGCAATTGCCTTTCAAATAATCTTTGCAAATTGGTATATCATCATGTGCAGGCGCGCCACTCATTTCTAAAGAATTTAATACATCCGGTGCCATGCGCCCGGTTCGATTATAGTATTCCTCATCCTCTCGAGAACAATGAATAAACCGGCAATCATGGCGGCTACATTTACCATTCTGAAAGTCATGGCAAAACACATATTTACGCTTATCCTCTTCTATTGGAGGATGAAAAAATTTGCAAGATTTGCCTCTATTGCACACATTGCGCATGAAATCGCGACATACATTGTCTGGAGTATCTGAGTTTAGATCCTTTTTCCCTTTCATCCCTGTGATTTAGTGAATAATAAATTTAAATATTTCAATTTATAATAATTAAAGGATTAACAGGAATAACATGCTAGTTACTAATTCGTAAATTTTACAGTATTAAGTAAAAATAAAAAATTATTATAATATCTTTTAAATATTATTTGGGTTATACATTCTTTCAAATTTTAACTTAATTAAAATGATTCTATAAATATAATTAGATTATTAATTAGCACATTATTCCTACCAACTCTTCAATTAGTAAAAATTCAAGATTTTAGTTTTGAAATAAATAAATATGGGGTCATTGATGATTCATGCAATCTCTTTAAAATTATTAACATATTATAATTTTTAAAAAATGATTAGTTTTACATTTCTATTTCCCAAACATAACATGAAACAGAGAGTGGTGTCTTCTTTCACATGTTAGTGAGTCAAAGATGGTTCTTGGTTAGGCTAATGATGAAGAAGACAGGTGTTATGGCTAGCTTGCACTAGAGACCAGACACCACCAATGAGAAAATCATGTTGACACTCTGGGATCAAACCCAGGACCCTGTACATCAAAACACATGTTTCTATTTATTGGGTAAGGCACTAATTAAGTCCTATCCTCTTTAAAATTGTATTAACTTTAGTTTTTTAAATGAAAACATTGTTTAACCACTAAAAAATAAGAAAATGATCTAATTAAAAAACAACTCGTTGATAACAACTTATGGAAGTAATAAACATTTTTCTATGATTGGAGATGAAACATGTGTCCGTTTATTTTTATATCAAGATATCTATGAACCACACTACTATTCCTTCCCTAGTATAAAAATCTAATAAATTTTAAGATACTGGTTCTAAGTTGTTATCAACCAGTAATTTTCTTTTTTTAGGTTGGATAAACATTTATGTTTCTGTCTAAACTGAAATTAATAAATATTAAGGAGCGGATATGATCAAATCGTTTTCTTGAAATTACAGAACTTCATAAGTTACTATTAACTTCTAAAAAGAAAAGAAAATAATGTTTTATAATTTTAAAGAGATTGTGTAAGACATAGTTAATTAATTAGTTTATATAAACATTAATGTTGATAAATATTAATAGTTAATTATTAAAATTTGAAGTAATAATAATGGACTTAATCTGTTTTTTCTCTTTATATATTAATAATACATTCAAGAATTCTATACATCAGAGCAATATAATCAGGATTACATTAGTATAATATAAAATTACTTATAGTGGTAGCTTAATTTTTATTCATAGCTTTATTGTCATAAATTTATACCAGATAACTAAAGATGTAGATACCATTTGCCATACAATTTGACACTGTTAATAAAAAAGGGAGTTAGTTAATTTTGACAATTCTTTTTTCATTAATTTTCAAAAAATATTAAGTTATCTCCAAAAATTTTCATAAGAAATCTATAAAAATCGTTTAAATATAAAAAAATTACATTTTCTATAGAGAAAAAAATTGTAGTGTCCTTTTGAAAACAAAATAAAATTTTTTTATAGCCTCATTTACAAAAATTGCCCAATTAAAATTACGATACAGACATATATTATATTTATTTCATCAAAAAAAATTTGTCTAATCACACATTTTAGGTACAACGCAGTCGATTGTAAATAATGAATAAGTAAAATAACAACACGTAATATTACATTACCTTCGAGGAAAATTTAAATGAAAATAATATATTGTTAGTCCACTTCGTATAAATGTTGTTTAAAAATAGTTAACATTAGCTAGACTATGTACAATTATTCAGAAGTTTAAGTAAAAATGATGTCTAAATAAATACTGCTAAAAGTTTTTCGCGTTAATTTCGTAAAAAAAGATTATAGAAAATAAATATTATTACATCTGTATCCTAGTAAAATAATCAATGACCTTTCAATATGTGGGCGTGGCTTCAATTAGATGTAAACAAAATATTTTTTCCTCCAAGAAAAATAAATATAAAAGTTTTGGGCTACATTATATTTAATCCTTTCAGTCACTGTGTCCCATATTAAGGATACAAACTTTAGACTCATGTATTCTAGAATAAATTTAATTAAAATTAGTAGAAAGTACATAATTATATTCTTTATTATGTGTGAAGTTTAATTGCTTGTATTAAAAATTATAATTGCCAAGGTGATGATTACAAATAATCATTAAAAAAATTATTACGTTTTATTTTTCAATATTTTTAAGCAGTTGATAAGCCATGTTTGTCGACCAATTGAAATATGAAATCGTTTTATTTTCATGGAAATAAAATATTGTCAACAAGATATACTTGAACACGTTTATCTGCCATAAAATTATGAAGATAAATATATGTGTACCGTATTTGGGATACTATTTCGTACAAGATAATACGCGCTAACAATAGGTTAACGTCAGTTCCTATTGTTTTAGCTACGAAACTGAGAAGATATTAATTTTTACTATGATGTGTTTTTTTGTCTGTTATCACTTTTACTCAGCAAATTTGAAAAAAATTCTGTCGTTCCCTTTAAATGGAGGAAATTCCCAAAAAAATTTTGATTATTAAAATCGGTTAATTTCGACTTTTTATTCTTATAACTGCCAAGCATTTTTAAAAAAATGAACAAAGCATAACAATTTTTTTTTAATTACCTTAAATATTTCACTTTCATTTGGTATATATCTTTTAAAAATCTGACCTTTTATATGCCTAAAGCGGGTGATTTCAAATAAAAACTTTGATAAAAAAATTTAACTATTTCCACTTATGTTTTGAAAGTATTCCAAGCTTTAAATATATATTAAAAAAATTATGTTAAGTACATACAATAAGCCATTTCTATTTAAACAAGGGGTTGAAATATTGAAAAATTCGAGTAACAAGTAGAATTTTTTTAACTTAACTTTTAAAATGATACGGAAATTTTCCTAGCTTCAAATATATGTAACATAGCTTATGTTATGAACATAAAATAAGCTTTTTTTTAACTTATAGACAGTGGTCAAAGTGGGGGGGATACGTAGGGATGCCATCCCTCTACTTTTTTTAATTTACATTTTTCATACCTCTACTTATTATCTTTAAAATAATACATCCCCCTTTATATTATTCAATGTGTATTCAGATTATCGACAGAAATGGAGGGCATCCCTCCACATATTTTGAGCCACTTCGACCACTGCTAATAGACGTACTATAAGTTTAAAAAAAAAATTTGTTCCTACAACTTGTTTTTTGTATGTAAACGTTTTTCGAAGTTACACAGAAATATTATTTTGATGCAAAATTCACCATTTTTTAAAATGCTATTTTTACTTAAATATATTGTATCAATATATAGATAAATCATTTCAATAAAAATCATACTTATCATTTCTATAAAACTCGTGGTGTTAAAATAGATGTCACAATTGAAATATTCAGTACTATATTTCGTAGTTATATCTTATATTTCTATTCTATAATATATTAATATTCAGAAATATTTTGGGATTAGTATTACTTATGATTTTTTCCGCTAATGTGTTATTGAATTTTGTTTTTTTACTACTTCGCAATTATCTCAAAAATAAGATATAACAGAAAAAATCTAATTGCAGATTTTAAATCGTCGCAAAAATTGATTTAGAATGTGTATATTTTTGTCACTAAATTTCTTGTCGATTAGTTTAGAGCAATTTATTTAAAATTATTTTCTCAAAAGTTTTGGATCAAGCTCCTCAATTTCTGTAAACGTTTGCCATAGAAGTAACGAAATATACGAATAACAACTATAAGTTTAATTGCCCTAATTAAAACTATAAACTACTAAGTATTTATTCATAATCTAAGTTATAAATCAAAGATCTACTATATATATATAATTAAGGAAATATGAGTTGATGTTGCTACATGATGTACAGATTTGAATCGAAGTGTTTCTTATGATAGTGATTTTAATCACTGTCAGATATCATTTCCATTTGTGACTGTCATGTCCCCACTGTGCTATTGTTATTTGTTCCATTTTGAAAATTGACAACTTTATAATATTTTAATAAAAATTGTATATAAGTATTATTGATGACAAATAAATTGTCAACTAAATCTAATTTATACATCCTAGATAGAGATTTATCTGAATTAGGTGTGATGTCTAGTATTAATAATGAGAAAAATGAAAAGAAAATATTAAAAATGTATGCCTGAAAGGGTTTAATAATTTAGTATACGCAGCAGGGTGAAGCTAACAAAACACTTACCTAGAGTAATTTACCTAGGTAAATTACCTAGAGTGTTCTAAAAGACTTCATATGCATAAACGAAAAGTAAAAAAAAATTCTCTTTTAGTTGAAAAATATAAATGAGAGAACGTTTTTGTATTGGTCCCTCAATATCTAGTGCCAGAACTGTTACACAAAATGTACAGCATATCATAATATCAAAGGAATTATTATCATCTGTGACATAAATAAAATCAAAACAAAAGTTTATTACACAGATTTCATTTTAAAATAATTGATCAAAAGTACTGAAATTAATAACAAAAATATATAGCATTTGTATGTAAATATATTACTAAAAAATATTTTTTTTATTAGTTAATGAACTAATTTTTCCTAATGCATTGGATAACAAAGTTCCTTTATCTTGTTCAAATTTAAACATGTGCATTAATATGTGTTCTACTATTTCTTCAGCAGTTTTATTTTGTCCAAAGTAATCAATAAACTCACCGTCTGGATTTACTAAATACATAATTATAGTATGGTCAACCTACAAATGATCATCTGATATAGTTTATGATTAATAAAAATAATAGTATTAATATTTCTTACTATGTAATCATTATCAACATCTTTTTTTCCTGGACTATAATAAACTCTATACTTTTTGCAAACTTTTTGAATTTGATCAGATGTTCCACTTAAACCAATAAATTTGGGAGAAAATTCTTTAATATATTTTTCTACAATCTGAGGACTATCTCTTTCTGGATCAACTGTGATAAAAATTCCTTGAATCCCTATACTCAGTTCTTCTTTATCTAAATAATAAATCGCTATAATAATCAATCGCTATAAAGAAATTAAAACAAATTTTCAATAGTATATATACTGATATAAAATACAATAAAATGTTACTTAGTTATAATTCCTACATTATATGATATATATTGCAATAATTTAGGTTAAATTTATTTTGTTTGAGTAATACAAAATTTGTATTTAATCTAAGTTATAGCACTAATTATTCACACAATTTTAATAAAAACATTCAACTAATTTATAATTGAAATTTCTTAAAAGTAGATAGAAAATATATTGTACTTAATACATAATTGATTTTTAATTTTTTATCACACATAAAAGTTACATTTCTATTTATATCTAACAAAATATTTATATTACTCTTCATAGACAGAACTTGCACCATTAGATAAAAAATAATAAACTGAATTCAACTACAGACTGATTGTTTAACTATAACTCATGCAACATTTTTAAAAATATAAAATATAACATCTTTTAAAGCTTATTTGTTTTTTATTTGAGCATGTACAATATGTTTGTAACAGAATAAAAATACATTAATAAATATTTTATCATACCAAGTTTGTCTATAACTATAGCCATTTTTTCTAATTCATCAGGACAAATATCCGGACAATGACTGAAACCAAAATAAATAAGCATCCATTTTCCGAGAAACTGCTCACTCTTAATAATATTATTAGCTCCATCAACAAGTTCAAATGAACCACCAATTTGTGCTTTACCCAACTGTCTTTTTCTTTCGCGTCTCTCTTCTAAAAATAAATTAGTATTTTAATATTTAAATGTTGACATATAATTTTATTACATACTAAAACATAGATTAATTATACAATTGTATAAATTCATTTAATCTAAATTTAAGTAACAAAATTGATGATTACCAGAAGTTAAAAAAAAAAATAAGTGGGTTCTCATATTATTAGGTCTAAGATTTCTAAATTTCCAAAAAAAATACTGAGTATTTAATTTTTTTTAGATAGAAAAATGTATTATAGATTAAGTTGTCTAGTGTCTTTAATATTAGTTTTACTCTAAATTTATAATATAACACTTATCATTAATTATCGAGGTTTTAATATTTTATTTTTTAAGTCTAAAATAACATAAGTTTATATTTAATTAAATTAAAAACTAATTAATTACTTTCTTCTTGTTCTCCTTTTAAATAATATAAATACGATACCAAGCCTGTTCCTATGATACCAGTAATTGCAAAGTTTTTCCATGTAATAGGACCGCGTTTACCAACTAAACTACCCTTGCGTTTGGGCAATTGTATTGGTTTACCTGATTCTTTTGATACATTACAGAAGTTGACTTTTGCAATCCGGTTAACATGTACCTATTATAGCAGAATAAAAATTGAATAAGTAAATAAATATTTTCTAAAAAGTCAACTCTTTTCAAATATTACATTTTGAAAAAGTCTTTTGAAACTATTTGACAACATTCTACTACTTTTGTAATAACCGACTGTAGAAATAATAATAAATAAAAATTTGTTTTGGTGAATGTTACGACAAAAATATATACAATGATATTAACGATAAATATATTACATTTTACAAAAACACAACTCAAAGTAACTCAAAATTAGAGTTAAAATATTGACCGTCTTACAATTGCATGTCTACAATTAAAATATACAAATTTATTAATAATTGTTGAGATTACACTATCACATCAATTTAAGTGATAAAAATTTAATTCATGTTTTAAGTACATAACCTATAATAACTTTCAACCCACCGCATTGCTAGTGGTGGTGGTGGTTGATATGAGATTCAACTGATTAATTATATTGTGCAAACAGTTTTTGGAGCAATGAATTGTCATTATATCTAGTTAGTTTTATTTATAATTATCAATAATTTTTGTAAAATTATAATCTACATAAAATGGAAAAATTAGTTAAAAGTAGAAAACCTACTGAAGAAGAATTAATTCATAGCACGTTTAATGCATTACGCACTGAGCAGAGACAACTTGCAACAAAACTATCAGAAATTGAACTTGATTTGAATGAACATAAGTAAAATCCTAAACAAAATTACTAATGTAATTTTAACTACTTCAAAATACTAATGTGAATATATATATTTTTTATTCCAGTATTGTTATAGAAACCCTAAATAAATTGGATGGTGAAAGAAAGTGCTTTAGATTGATTGGTGGTGTTTTAGTAGAAAGAAAAATATGTGATGTTTTACCAACACTTATAAAAAATCGAGGAGAGGTTTGTATTTAAAAATGTCCTAATAAAATGAAATATTGAATACTAAATAAATTTTGTTATAAAGTATTATTATTGCATTGAAATATTTTCTAATAATATTGTTATTTATAATGCAACTCGGTGTGTAACTCAGGTTTTTCAGAAAATAAAACAATTTTAAATATACTTGTTTTAGTACAAGGAATAATTTAATTTTCATAATTAACAGTTACACTAAGAGTCTAACAACATAATATCTTAATTAAAAAATTGCCAGAATAACTTATTTTATCAAGATTTAAAAAATTTAATTTTTTCATACGTTGCAGTATAAATGATAATATTATTAAATAAATAGTATATAAGTAATATATATTAAGTTTCATATTAATACAATGCTGTTTACTTTTGACATTTATTGAATTTTTTATATTGGTTTATACTTAATAGGACAAAATTATTATTTTCAGATGAGTAAAATCGTTAAAACATTAAATGAACAACTTACTAAAAAAGGAATTGAAATTAATGAATTTAAAAATAATCATAATATTCAAGTTAAAGGCGGTTTCTCTGAGCCTACAGAATTGAACGAAAAACATTCGGAAGAAAAAAAAACTGATCAAGGGAGTTCAGTAATAGTTAATAATGTATAAACTTTGTTAATTATTTTGTCTTTTTTGTGTATTTATTTTAAATATACAAACTATTTTGCTTATATGTATATATATATACAGAGTTTTCAGTAAGTAAAGAAACCGGTAAATTGTTATAAACAATGAGAACAATAGAAACCTGTTTCTTTACTTACTGAACACCTATATATAAAATATATACATATATACAGGGTGCATAATTGTAAATGTTTATGTATTACATAATATTTTAATAAGTTTTTTAATAACAATATAATTGAAAAACTAACATTATGTTTACTCAATTTTTATAACCTATATCATTAATAATGTGAAATTCCTAACAATGCTTTTTATATTTTTAGTCTCACTAAGGATAAAATTAATTTAAACTTGGTAATATGTTATAAATTTTCTTTTTAATAGAAAATTGTATGTTCTAAATTTTAATTTTAAGTAGCTTATTTGTTTATTTTAGTTACGTTAATAAAAATTCAATAATTTTTACTACTTACTGAGTATTACTGTTAGTAGGGTAACATCATTAATGAACAATGATGAGATCATTTATGTATAAATAATCCATTCTAAATACTTTATTATAAATATTATGGTAGAACATAAATTATTTCATTGTAAAATAGAACAACTTTTGCAGGGAATTTTGATAGAGATAGAGCAAATACTTTTTGATGAATTGTCAAAACCTTAAAATAATTAATTTAAATTCCATTTCAAAAAATATTGAATTCCAGCATGTAGAGTATTTATTGTTGGAATATTTTCCTGAAACAAAAAATGTGTAAGTAGTAGTGTAAGTTAAAACAAATTTTGGATTTCATAATTGATTAAATTGTCTGGACCTAGATATATTAAATATTTTTTCTTGTAATTGTAGTTAGTTAATATTTATAATTTGGATCATTTAGCTAAAATTATTACACAATAGTAACACAGTCACAATTTAAACCTATTCAATATTTTTGAGCCACCTAAGATATTATAGATTCTATGTAATAATCTAGACATTTTATATTTTAACATATTATGAAAACTAAATATTCGACTTATTTCTCTACATCAAACTATAGTAATTAATTTAACTTACCCGCCTCTACCAGTTAATCTAGTACTTTTTCATACTTAAATAAAAAAATTAAGAAAACCGTCCATGATTACTGCAAGGTAAATAGATTCTCAATAAATGAACAAATTTTAAATTAAATAAGTTAATTACATTTATTATATACAGTGTTTGGTAGATATGGAAACAGGTCAATTGTTACAAAAAACGAGAACAATTGAAACCCGTTTCTATTGCATAATAAATTGTTTTTATTTATATAAAACTGAAATTTATTCTAAATGATAAGAGAACAATTTTTGTAATACTCATATACCGATTAGAGTAAAACAGTTACCACGTTAGTCTAACTCTTCACAATAGAGGTATTTTTGTTATATAACATTTTTATCCTTATTTTATTAGAAAATTGAATTATTGTATGAAATTTTAAAACGTATAAATTAAAAAAAATAATTAAATAAACAATTAAGTAATATATTTATTAATAATTCGAACACTATGCTCTACGAAGTAAAGAGGTAAGTATAGCTTTATTATATTAATACTAGGGATGACTAGGGAACTATGGTCAGTGGGTAATACCGGTCACCTCATTATTTATTAAACCCATGCAACTAAAATTATGTTGACCATATGTATAGATTAATAATGATAAAAAAAACCTTATTCTTATTAGAACGATATTATTAAAAAACGTTTTGACATTTAAATGTGTGAAAATAGTTTTCAGCGTTTATTTATCTAAAAAAAAAAATTGTTAGGAAATTTAATTTAGGGTATGCAAATTATTATATATTTATATGAACTATATTTCAGTGATTTTTTTAAAATTATTTTATCTCTATCTCTTTGCATGTATTTACTTATGACCGCTATTCCCCCGGTGAGGTAAGGGGAATACTGGTCATTTGCATTAAAATAATATATATATTTATATATATATATAGGATTATGTTTTAAAAATCAGAGACTTTGACATAATGCAGTCAATATGTTTATGCATCCATTTGCTGTAATATTTAGAGTCTTAGAACCAGAGATATAACAATTTTTGCTAAGGTGACCGTAGTTTCACCAGTCCCCCTACTAAGTGTTGTTTAAACCAGAGGTTCTCGAAGTCAAATGAATCACGGACCCCCCTCTAAAGACCTACAGTTTTAAAGACCTAACCCTGATATGTGCTCGCGGACCCCTGGGGTCCGCGGACCACACTTTGAGAAACTGGTTTAAACGGCTCAGATCTTATCTCAAATTTTTTTTATTTTTGAAATTACAGATAGCAAAAATAACAGTTTATACTTCAACAGTAGTTTTTTTTTTGTCGATCTATACATTTTGTTATGAATTTAATGAAAAAACACTCACAGTATTTAGGGATGTCAATGTTATTTTCGCAGGTATTTATTTATTTATTTTTATTATAACTCGAGCTTGAAAGTTTAATTTGCTAATAGTTTAATATACTTAGTGTTTTTGGTCTCCTGAAAAATTCATACTTTAATTACCTTCTCACAAAAACCGCCCATGTATCTGTACAATTATTATTTTTAGTCATATTTTTTTACACAATAAAATTTGAAGAGTGATAGTTTATATTTGGTGTACAGATATAATTTAAATGTGATACTGTAGTGTTATATCTCCCAATAGGTATACTTATTGAGAGAGGATAAAAAATAATTATAAGTAAGTTGATTATATAATTAATTGGTACATTTTATCAGAAAAGTATTACTAAATTTCATTGATTTTAAAACTCAAAAATAAAAAAATTATTTTATACATCTATTTTTCTATTAATCTCGAAAAATTATACTTTGTTGATACTAATGATAAATAACTTTATGTTTTATCTTACCAACAGATATAAAGATTGCTAATTATAATTATTAATCTTTATAAATAATTATTATTATTTATAAATAACTTTGTAAAAGGAAAACCATTTGAAAGACAGTTTAACTTTTAATACTCAATACATAGTTAATAAGGTACGGTGGTAATATACCAATAATCAAATGATTTTTTATTTTTAGTATATTAAAAATTGAAAAACAAACCGAAATATTATTTTGGTTTGTTCTTGCTTGTTTATATATTTCTAAAGTTAATTGAGTATTGATTTTCAATACTTAATGAAACTTTGAAAGAAAATTAATATATAATTGAAATCTCTTTTTACTCTTTTTTTCGGTTTTTATTTTGAGGTAAAACACCATGTTACANCTTAATGAAACTTTGAAAGAAAATTAATATATAATTGAAATCTCTTTTTACTCTTTTTTTCGGTTTTTATTTACAGGTAAAACACCATGTTACACTCAAAACAGCCGTACACTATTTTTAGGAGGGTAATTAGGTAGAATTGCCCTAATATATACTGTTCTGTGATGTAAATATCGACGTAGCTTAATTGTTTATATGTAATGCCGTTTTGTAGATATTATTGAAGAATTATTTTTGTTTACTGAAATAAATAAAATTACTATAATTTTCATTATTAAATTAATACTAATAGTAAGTCAATATTAGCTTATGAAATAGTTTATGATAATAGTAATTCCAAGCCAATATTGTTCTGAATTATATTTTTCTATTAATTTTAATCCGTTGAAATATATTCCATTTTATTATTTTCTGAGTTTCGATGAAAAACAGTACAGCTTGTTCTCATCTTTTGGAATACTATTCTTTATAAATACATGCTGTTTTGTTTTATCCAGTTCCTAATAAGTATTATCTCGATTTGTATAGTACCCTCATTAGTGCTGTTTGGGAGTTTATCGACTTGTCAAAAATGTAATTATTTTAATTTAAAAATAATAATGAATAAGGAAAAATACAACTTTATCGTGTGGTATATTTCAATGGCTGTATGGGGGAGGTTATAGGTAGATCGGCCCTACCTTCTTAGTCCGCTTCTTTTTTAAATTTTTTAAAAGTATTAATTTAATATATAGTAAAAAAAAAAGTTTTTAGCGCGCTATAGACTCGGTTGTCAATAGAGTTAACATAACCTTAAAAAATCAAAAAAAATCTGGTACAATGAGGATGCGAAATAGTTGGGACAAGCATATATAATATTTGACAATGATTAACATCATTATCATAAAAACGCTTCGATGCAAATTTGTTTAGGAATGACGATTTATACAAGCGTAGAGCTATTATAAAAAAAGAATTGTATACATATTATTTAAAGCAAAAATATGAAGTTAAAACTAAAATATATGAGAAATATTTAAGAAAAATCTAATTAATCTTAATTTTTCAGTATTACTATGGAATTCCCGCATCTAATTTTAAATAAAAGCAGTTTTTATTTTTTAGGTTGTGTATTAATGTCCTGAATGCTGTAAAAGAGCATAACCTGGCTAATTTTCTTATGTATTCTATGTCGCTATATTTTATAACAGCTGTTTCCTTTTGGTATAGTTTTCTCTCAGTATATCCTAAGTATATCTGTTCTCTTTGGTATTTTAAACATAACTAACCCGCTAACCATTTGTGTATATCGCTTTTTCTATGTCAACAAAAACAATATATTTAGCCTTATCTTTTCTAATTCTTTTTTCAATAATTGTTACTATTGCCAGTATTACCTCCCTTGTACTCGTGTTCTTTCTAAACCCAAACTACTAGTCTTTGGACAATATGGTTTCGTTGTTATTTGCTATTCTTCTTGACATAATTATCATAAGTATTTTTAACACTGTCAGCAAGCTATAGTTGTAAGATACTGATCACATTTGTTTACAGTTGTTTTTTCAGAATAACTATAATCTTAAACTTTGTTCAGTCTTAAGGAAGGTTTTTATTTTGGTTTATAATTTATAGTACGTAACATAGGATTAAATTTAACGTATGCTTAAAAGACGCAGTATTTCCAGAACATTTTCAAAAGTTAAGCTGAAAAAGTTCTAAATTTTACTCGAATATTTCAAGATTTGAACCTCCTCTGTATAAAGGGAATCAGTCTGATTTAAAAAAAAGTATGTTGGAAGAAAGGGGTATGTATAAACTATTTTGAAAAAAAAATTGTGTTGATCCATATATCTTTCAAATAGTTATAGTTATTTAAAGTAAAAACTATAGAGTCGAAAATTGCACANGTACCCTCACAACTATCGTATAATATAAATAAGTATTTGGAAATAAAAATATTATAATATAATCAATAAAAAACCCAGCACAGGGGATCGCGGCACGGTGGTGACGTGGCATAGATGGATCAAGTATAATGATATCTGACAGTGATTAAAATCACTATAAAAAAAAAACGCTTCGATGCAAATCTTTAGATAGTGTTTAATTTTAAAAAATTAGTGGATTATTCCAAAAGCTTCATAAACTGCTAGTTCCTTATTAATATCCTGATTAAGATAAAGTATGTCGAATGTAAAAGGGATTATTAAAAAATAGTATTTCCCATAAAAAAATAATGTTGATCCATTTTCAATAGTCATAGCATTATAAAATTAAAAATGTAAAATACAAANTTTATCAATATGATGATTTTTTTTCTTATCTTGAACAATAATTATTCATAAGAATAATTATTTTGTTCGTATTAATAAAACATCATCATAAACCCTTGATAAAATTTCTCTATCAAAATTGATTGGGGTTTTTCTTTGGGTGTAGTGTTTAATTTAAAAAAAATGGTGGATTATTCCAAAAGCTACATGATCTGCTAGTTCATTATTAATATCCTAATTAAGATAAAGTATGTTGAATGAAAAAGGGATTATTAAAAAATATTATTTCTCATAAAAAAATAATGTTGATCCATTTTCAATATGTCATAGCATTATAAAATTAAAAATGTAAAATACAAAATCGAAAATGTTTACACAAAAATAGCATTCACTAACTATTTTCATCGTGAAGATAAAATAAAGTCCGAAATTTTTTTTTTCGTGATAAAGTATATTACATTAGCTTTAATTTAATATATATATAAAAGTGTCAGAACATTTTCAAAAATCAAGTTGAAAAAATTAATTTTTTGTGAAAAAGTTGTCATTTTAAATCATCTCCTGTGGGCAAGTAAAGGGTCACATATAAAAAAAAAATAAATCAAATAAAAGGTAATGCTATCATGCATCTATATAAAAAAAATTATATTGATTCGGTTATTTTTAAAAGAGTTACGGCAGTTTTTAGTAAAAAAAATTGAAAAAATTAGTGATTTTTAAATTTGTAATTTTTTTGGAGGTANAAAAATTAATTTTTTGTGAAAAAGTTGTCATTTTAAATCATCCCCTGTGGGCAAGTAAAGGGTCACATATAAAAAAAAAATATATCAAATAAAAGGTAATGCTATCATGCATCTATATAAAAAAAATTATATTATTGATTCGGTTATTTTTAAAAGAGTTACGGCAGTTTTTAGTAAAAAAAATTGAAAAAATTGAAAAAATTAGCGATTTTTAAATTTGTAATTTTTTTGGAGGTATCCCCCATTTACGGGGAACGAGGGAATTTTTTTCAATTTTTAAGGGTAATGTCTTCGACTAGATACGATTTGTGATCTTTTGACGTATCATTGAAAGAAATCGGTTCGGTGAGAGCTGAGAAAAAGTGGTAACAGACACAAAAAAAACACATCTTAGTAAAACCAATACCTTTTCAACTTCGCATCGAAGCTAAAAACTATAGCAACCATTTACACACAGAAGATAAGCCGTCGAGACAAATATATATTTTTTACTTATAGTACATAACATAAGCTTTAATTTAACATTTGTTTATAGGCGTAGTATTTCCGGNCGCATCGAAGCTAAAAACTATAGCAACCATTTACACACAGAAGATAAGCCGTCGAGACAAATATATATTTTTTACTTATAGTATATAACATAAGCTTTAATTTAACATTTGTTTATAGGCGTAGTATTTCCGGAACATTTTCAAAACATAAGTTTTTGTCTAAAAATTATTTTGAATCCTCCTGTGGCGCATAAAATTAATACCTTCTCAGCTTCGCATCGAATCTTAAAGTGTTATTAGGGATGTCACCCGGCAATTTCCGTGAATATGATAAAATAGAAAATGTTTTGAATGGAAATTAGAGTAGGTGTTTGATATTAATAACTTGTGTTTTGAATAGAATTCTATTCATTTGTCTATTCTTTTGTTTCGGTTTCCTAGTCGATAATTTCCTGTTATGTACCCTAGTATTTCTTCTTCCATTACAGCATTTCATAATTAAATCATGAAATCGTCTACTACTATAATCGTATACTACTATAGACGATTTTATGATTTTCAACTCTTATAACTTTGTTAATGATTTCTTCTATCCCTTCATAGATTTATTCTAATTTGTTAATAAAAATTCTTCTATTTACATCTCATTGCTATTAGAAGTTTATTCAGTTACTAATCGTACAGTTAACTATACTACTGGTAACTGCACATATGAGAATTATCACATCTGCTGGCTGCTGTTTGGTGTGTAGCTATTTTTATAATTGTAGGCACACCTACACCTATACTCAATATTGTAGTAGCTGCAGCTCTACTGTAAGTCTCTTTTAGGAAAGCAGAAACAACCGATGGCCAATTTTAATTCCGACCAACAGGAGAGAAGAATATTCTTCCCCTCTATCGGTCGGATTTAAAAGTTTAGATCCAAAATATATTCTTTAGCTTAAAAAATATTTAATTATCAAAAATCCAGCAAATACATTATTATAGGAAAGTATTGAAGTTTCAATTTATCTTTTTATGAATACTCCCAAATCATATAAATTATAATATATTTTATTAAAATGTTAAAAAATTATATAACTGCAATTATGTACCATAATTCATAAAATGTAGCATGTTTATATTAGCGGGATATAAGAGATAAGAGCAAAAAATAATTTTATTTAAATAAATGAAAAACGACATTTTAGTATTTCAATAAATATATATTTATTAAAATACTAAATAAGATTATAATCTTATTTATGAATTAATATTTAATGACGCGAAATAAATTTAAAATTCTAAGCAAACATATTTTTATGTTAAAGTCAATTTTTACCATCTTATTTTCAATAGGCGACAATAGAATAAAAGATGGGCATCCTTATGCCCTCTCCTAGGATCCGCTACTAATTTTAATTAGGAATGTGAAGTTGATTGTTGAATATTGTTCAATTTGTACTTAGTATTTACTTATTACAATTTTGTGCGTTCCGTCCTGTATAGGTACATCAATTACTAACTTATTGGAAAAATGTTTTAGGCGACGCTCGATTGGTTCCCTAAGAGGTGCCGAACGAGTCCTCTTACACCCCCTCACTCGTATCCCTGATTAATGTGCATGTATATGAATGCATAAATACACGTGTGCAAATATAGAACAATGACCTAGAGAATAAAAATCGAGCCGCTCGTCGATTCATTGTCGGGTGTTCTCTTTGATAAACAAGCTGATCGGTAAGTGCGTGATTTATTTAACTATAATAATAAAGTGAGCGATGATGATGATAATAATAACAACAACGGATGCGGATAGTGATGAGACAGCGGCGGTAGGGGAAAGATGTGGCATCCGTAAGGGTGTGGCGGCTAAGTCAACGAAAACATTATCATAGCTCCACTACGGTGGCGGTGCAGCGGCGCGCAGATAGGTGTGGTTGAACGGCTACCGAACGGTTTTTGTTTGTGGAAATCCCCACCCGAGTATCAATCACTGCAGTGCCCGCACTGTAACCTATACGGGGCTCACGGGATACGCCCGCGCCGGATTGGCGGTAGCCATGGCGACGAACGGCTAATCATGGGCGGAGCGATACCCCGGGCGACCTTACACGATGCCGCGCGCGATACCCCGTATACTAGTATCAACCGGTCAACGATATTACGATGATCTGACGCAAACGATACCCGGACGAAAAAATATATTATTATATTATACACACACCCGTGCACGCGGCCGTATGCGACGCACTTTCGACGTTATCTCAGCACACGCATATGCCAAGTCCAATCGTCTTGTGATCTATAGGAGTACATTTTATCAGTGCGTACCGTATCGTTCCAGTGCCTGCGTTGTGTAAAAATCGTTTTGTTGAAAATCTCGCACAGATACAGCCGACTTCGAACGGTGCAGGTTTTTTCATTTGACCGTTGCGTTTACAGTGGAATGTAGTGATGGCATTGGGCATATCTTCGACGCCGACGGATTCGTCGGGACGGGGATCGCCGGTGAGCCCCATCAGCCCGATTACGCCGCTACCCACGCGGCTGGCGCCCATGCCCATGGTGCCCAATCCCATGTTTGGTTTGCCCATGTTGAACTTTAGCGTTTCACAAGTGGCTAGCGTATGCGAGACTCTAGAAGAGAGCGGCGACATCGAACGGCTGGCTAGATTCTTGTGGTCACTGCCCGTGGCCCATCCCAACATCGTCGAACTCAACAAAAACGAAGCCGTCCTTAGAGCGCGGGCCATCGTGTCGTTCCACAGCGGTAATTACCGAGACATGTACACGATACTGGAACACCACAAATTCACCAAGGACTCTCACGGCAAACTACAAGCCATGTGGCTGGAGGCCCATTATCAAGAAGCGGAAAAATTGAGGGGTAGGCCTTTGGGGCCCGTCGACAAATACCGAGTCCGTAAGAAGTTTCCACTGCCTCGTACCATTTGGGACGGCGAACAGAAAACGCATTGTTTTAAGGAGCGCACAAGAAGTTTGCTACGAGAGTGGTACCTTCAAGATCCATACCCGAATCCAACCAAGAAGAAAGAACTCGCTCAAGCCACCGGTCTCACGCCTACTCAAGTAGGAAATTGGTTTAAAAACCGAAGGCAACGGGATAGAGCGGCTGCTGCCAAAAACAGGTAAGTCCATTCATAATTATGAATTTTTTAGACCCCAGTATAATTGTTCTTTACGCAAATTGTTTTAATATTAAACCCATGGTATAGTAATAGTTTCTGTGTAATTTATAACCACATGAAAAAGTTGTCCGAGCTAAATTCTAATAGATGCCTAATTAATAAACCTGTCCAAAAACAGAATACTACGAGATCAAACACTTTTTAGATGAAATTAAAAAATAATCGTGCTATTGGATGAAACTAAATAAATATTCTACTTAAATTTTATAATATTGCCATAGAAATTAGAAATTATTCAAAAGTAAATACTCTTATAATAATTATTTTTGGAACCATAATTATAATTCATCATTAATAATGGTATTAATTTTTACTTTAAAAAATTATTTTTTGTGGAAGATTACACAAAATTGAAATAAATTTTTTACTTAAAAAATAATTGTTAAACTAAACTTTTTATTTTGTAAAAATTGAAACAAAAAAAAAAACAATATGGAATATTTCATGTAGAAAATACATATTTATACTTAAAATAACGACGTTTTCCTAAAAATAATTATTATTTAATAATGAAATCATTATATTATTAATATTGTTTTAAAAATATTAATTTAAAACTTTTTTAATTTCTCTAAATACATTTTAAATTTAGTTTAAATCGTCCAACTACCTAATAAAACTTCTGAATATAACTACTTATTTTAAATTCATATATACATAAAATAATAAAAATATTTTCACATGATTTACCATATTATAATTTAAACTATCGAAAACCGGTTCTATAGTTTTTTTTTTCAATCATAATTAATTATATAAACAACTTTTTAATTATGGTGATATAATTTAGAATATTTGTTCAGAACAAAAAAAAAAACATACTTCAGAAACGATTATTTGAAATTCAAAAAATGTTTTGTGTACATTTTTTCATCTTAATTAGTTCAATTCAGCTGATAATATTTTTTAATTTTTATTACATGCATTATAAATGTAAGGAATGAAAACTATCACAGCCGACAATCTGTGCATTTACAAACCCTTAAATAACACATCAGTACGATATTAGTATAATTATCATACTAATATTTGTTTAATAAATGTTAATTTATCATCTGTTGTTATTAATTATTCAAGAAAAAGTGATAAATTAACGTTTAAATAAATCTAAAATCGCATAAATAAATAAGCTTTACTACATGACAAATACAATAAACCTTGTGACCAATTTCCAATATAACGTGTTAAACTTTAAATTTATTATAAAAGGTTTTAACGATAATTTTTTTTACCGATTTTTTTGTTTCCATTAAGTTTATTTTAATATTATACTATAACTGTTTTCTCCATTTCACGAAATTTACAAGTATCGAGTCGAGACACTTTGAAAGCAGATAGACGATTTTCGAATGGAAACGTGTAATATTATAATTGATGTTAAAAATCAAAATGATATTTCATATTAATGTAAAGCAGTTGAAATGTTTCATACTTTCATGTAAATATCATAAGTTTTTACCCGAGAAGCCAAAAATGCTCCAAGTCCACTTTTATAAAATTTCTCTCTTTGGCATATTACCAATTTAGAAATTTACCTATTTTCATTTTGATTGTCCGGTGCAAATTTTCAAAAATATCAAGTAACTAAATTAACAGTTTTAGTAGCCACACGAGGAAAAAATTGTTGTTTTCTTCTTCTCCCGAAAAGTAAAAATAACGTAATTGGACTCTGTCATGTTCATTTCTATTTAATAAGACGGTATGTTTTATGTAACATGTATCAAATTATCGAAATGTTAACATCAAAATGTGCACTAACTGTGCCATTTAAACTTTAACTCTGCGACAATTTTATTACTGACATTAATTATAATCTAAAATATAAATTACACGTTTACGCTATTGTGCCATTATAACAATGAAAAGGCGACTCATAATATTACTTTTACGACACGCGCAGTGTTGTCTTGTGATTTATCATCAATACTGAAGTATTGAAATATTGTAGTTATATGCGCGTAGTTGGAGTCATTAAAGTTTTAAAGCTTTTAAATTTCTGAACGCGAATAAGAGAGAATCTAGCGATGATATTAAACGCCTCGCTAATGAAAGTTAAAAATCATTTTTCCGAGTAAAGTTCACTTGTTCGGCTTAAGTAACACTCTTGTGCAATACATAACTGATTTAATAACAGATGTCAGATAAACGATTCCGTTTGTCGCACACTGTTGTCTCAGTCCATGCAACAGAAATAACAGTGACGATTTTATCATTGGCGTCACTTTTTTTTTTCGCTTCGAGTAAAACGGCACATCGACACATAAATAATATGACAGGCTCAGCAGACCTCACACGGGACAGATCGCACCCGAAAGATTTCTGAAGAATATCCAACTAAACCGTGAGAATCATCACGGTCATGAGCGTTATGATATTTAATACTCATAGTTTTCAGTGTGCGTCAGTGTCTCACGTGTATATATCCTTTTGTTTTTGGCCCCTACGCATCGTCTGCAACGCGCGGTGTTTGTTCAGGACGATTCGACCGGGCTATTGATTTCACTAAACATCACTATCCCAACATGCAGCCACCGAGTGGGTAAAAAAAAAAATATATACTGCACCGATAAAGCGCATACATGTTGTACCTAAATGTATGTATGTGTACAACGAATGATCGCGTCCCGGCCGCGTACAACATTTTCAAACGAGTGTACCCTATCGGCCGGTGTAATACTATTTAAGCGTCTATGATTGACAAAAACGTATTTGGCGTGCACGCGCCGGCCCTGTAATTTTTCGTTCTTTGGGCCAAAGCTACTGCGGATCGTTCGCTATTGTCCCTCGACGTAGCGCAAACGTTATCGGCGAACCGATCGAACGGCACGTAGAGAGTGTAGCGCAGCAGCTGCCCTCGGGGGTGTCAAATTCTGCGTTCATTTTCAATATGCTTATATTATACTACATAAAATACAAAAGTAGTAATAATGGTGCGAATATAATACGGACGCGTGTTTAATCCCAAAAGGCGCACACACGTTTACCTATCTGTTGTTATTATATCGGCAGCGAATATTAGTATAATAATAAACGTTAGGGAGGAAACGCAACAGTATATTATATAAGTATAATGCTCGTGCAGATTTGATTAAACGATAAAATTTGTGAACGATTACGTGAACAATGCTTGTGCTCAAGTTCAAATAACGTTTAAACAGTACGCGTTTTGATCGGCGTCGCAGATATTTTGTTTGCTTTCGAATATTTTTACAACGACGGCGCGTAGCCGACAGGTAAATAATTGTGTAAGACAAGTAGCCTGTGCGAGTCGTATCAAATTTTCTAGTTTGCGGCGGTCGGATAGTAAACTTTCTTTTTGACGTGGACATACCAAAAGTTAACACGTAGTGTCAATAACAGTACGCGGTCACAGATTTAGTCTTTGATCGTCTCGCCGAAACGCGGTCGTATAGTATTACTGTGTAAATTATCATATTCCGAGGTACCTTTTAGGTGTATCGTTCAGCTACCATATTTACTGTTAATTATGTGAATTAATATGTGTTGTCGTATCCATTTCAAAAACGTCGACCGGTCTTACGAAATCTAACTTGCATCCGGTCAAACCGCCCGGCCAATTGTTGTGTTGAACTGTTTTTGGGTAAATCTCATGGAAATAAACAAATATTTTCTTCGATTAGGAAACTTTTCTCGGGTTGAATTACTTCTAGAACCTATCCGGTTGCCGTGTCAAGTATTGTACACGGAAACATTGTTATTATTTCAGCCGTCGTTATTTGCGCGCGTTGTTTCCAGTCGGCCGACGTTCCGATCATATTTTACATTACATTATTGTGTATTCGGTCAGACGTGCTCGGACGGTCGCGCGCAGTCCGTCTGTCGTCGGCAGTGCTTAGTCCGACAACGTGTATGTGCTGTGCGGTGAGCCCATTATGCATATGCACTGTCCCTTGTTATAGCTTTATATATATATATACACGCGCTATAATACTTAATGCGCAACAGTGCCGTGTGTTTTACTGCGGAAAGCCTCTGTACCGCAAGGCTGAAACGGACGACGGCTTAGGGTGTCCGGTTACTGATCCAAGAACAGCACGCAACAAGTCTGTCCCGTTTACACGACTCATTGAGTCGAGTATTCCATTAAACGTCCGGCCGGCGGTATCGCGGCAAACGTATTTTCTGCCGTGTGCATTATTCACGTACAAAGTAATGGAAATATTAATAAGGCAAACCGGTCGACTCTGTGTCCTGTATGACGGCGTGTAACCCTATACCCGCTCGCGCGATATCATTAGCGTGCCGCGATTATTGCCAGTCGGCTAACCTGGCGATGCTCGTTTTCTGTGCACTATCGCATGTGTCGTGTAGGTCCATGCAACAGCTGTAGTTTACTTTTAAGAGGTGTCTCGAAGCGTTTGTGCGTGTAGGGTCGTCTCGTACGTCCGTATGCGAAGGATCAATGAGAGGTGGTACGTGCACGGGGAAAGCGCTGTACCCGCGACATATGCGTCTTGTCAAAATACGCACACACACGGGCGCGGGCGCCTATAAATTATACGTTTGGTTTGCTGCTGTTCCCGGTGACATAACACTTTAATGTGTTTAAAAGACGTCCCTGCGTCATTTCTCCGTCCCAGTGCGTCGGAAAACGGCCGCATCGTTGGTGGCCGTTAAAACGTTATTAGTACCGCGCGGCGACGGGTATGGCGTCCCAAAGTGACAACATTGTTTTAGCGTTGACGCGTCCCGGACACGAAAAAAAATGTTCTAAACTTAGCGCATCACTTAACCGCGACCGAGGAAAACCGATACCCACATTTGTTCGATAATAATTATAGCACTCGACATGCATTATTAATGTATTATTTCTGGCGTCCCTAATCCTCAAAACAAATTTCAACGCATAACGTCCGGCGTTGAATTATCTTTTTCAATAAGAAACCATACGCCGACATTTGCATAACACAACTGGTTCG